TAAAATATTTCCAATGAATAAGAATATCTAAAAATTGCAAACTTCAATTTAGGTGTCTATAGTACTAGTAAGTTTTAGAGGTGACGATAATTAAGTTTTGCTAAGAATTCATCCAAATTTACAACTGAAGGCCAAATACACAAAATATCAGCATACCTAAACCATGGAATGATTCAAGGGGCAAGTAATTATCCAAAGGCAGCAAGCCAGGGAGACGGCATAGTACTATCAGTGTCGCTAAATACTCAAAAGTCACTAAATATCACCGAGAAGGCCAATACGAGAACAAAAGCATATATGGTACTGGAAAGGGAGTAATATCAAATGTATCGGATTCATAAAGGATTCTATGAGGGACAAATGACCACAAGGGACAGTTATAAAGCTATACGCTATCCACACAAATGTCCTGAAAATCAGGATATTCTACAAGATGTACAGTAAGAGGGACAATGCAGTTTGGACAATAAGAAGCAGGGGCAGCATTTAAGTGCCCATGAATGCAGCATGTATGACCAATACATAACCTCATTAGTCATTTCCAATTGCTGGTTACAGTGGTAGGAGGAAGGCCAAGCAGTCAGGCTACCCTTAACCCTTCCACTGCTCAGGGGTCCTGAGGATATTTACACCCCTGTGCGCAAGAAAAAAATAAAAAAAAAAAATTCACCTTCTAAACATGTTAATTTGTGTCCCCTGAGCACGGAAAAAATAAAAAAAAATCGTAGGCGACATATTTTGGCCGCAATTGACCGAGGAAGTCTGGCAAAAAGTGGGCGTTGACAAAGCGGTCGTCAGAGCCGGTCAGCATCACCCGCGCTGACAGGTAGGAGTTGCCACAAAGATATTATTACCTAATTCTTTCAATATCTCCGATTGATTTTTTCTTAGTTTTTTTGCAGTAATATTATTCAATAGTGTGTATTGTAATATAGTTATATAATAAAAGTGGTGAATAATCGCTATACTCAAAAGTATGGTGCGCATATTAGTGATTCAATTATTATGTTCATAAAACAATAAACAAATAGTTTTGCTGCTATTACACTCTATACACAGGTTATACATAAGTATCTGCATGTTTTGTTCACCATAACAAACCACTAAGTTGGTAATGAGAGTTGAAAAGCAACAAGGAGTTACCGCCACACACCAGCCAGCCACTCACTGCCACTCCCTCAACACACGCACTAAACTTTCTCCCCCAACAATACCATTTGTGGTGTTATTACACTATATACAGACGTTATATAGAAGTATGTATATATTTTGTTCACCACAACTGTACAGCTAAGCTGATATTGTTAGTTCAGGCACTAAGAGTCGTCGCTACACACAGTCAGCTGGCAGCTCCCTCACTCATTCAAGGTCACACGCACTAAACTTTCTCCCCCAACAATACTGTTTGCAGTGTTATTACCCTATATACACATATTATATATAAGTATCTACATGTTGTATGCACCGTAACTGTACACCTAAGCTTGTAGTGCGCCCAAAGAGCATAGTGGCCTCCCTCTAAACAGCTAGACAAATCGTGCAGACGACGTCACCTCCGTCACCTAAATGGCTCCTTCCAGCATAATCCTTTTGCTGTTATTACACTAATACACACATTATATATAAGTATCTACATTTGTGTTCACCATAGAGAACCACTGAGCTGGTATGGTGAATGCAAACAATAACAGGTGGCTACACAGTCAGTAAACGATGTTATCTCCCTCCGTCTCTCAGCATCACTCCTCCACAGCGCTAATTATTACAACAATCCTGCTATTATCACAACCCTGGTTATTTATATCACAGTCAGGGGTCATCTGTAATATTGTCATCGCTAAATAATAACAATCATATATTTATTTTTACATTTTTTGGCGATGCTGTGGTCACAAGCTGAACAGCAATGCTGTTCACTCATGCTGCATGCACCAGCCTTGGTTACTCCAACAGTACTGTGCCTCTCACACCTGAGAATATTGCCAACGATTTTTTTTTAAAATGGCGTCTGTTTACAAGAGCCCTGAGGAAGCTAATGTGAACCCAGTGTAGCCGCGGGCCAGGCACCCTATGGCGTATATATACGCCATGCGCACCGTGGGACATGTTACTCAGGGCGTATATATACGCCATGCGCAGTTTAAGGGTTAAAACACGCACTTTGTTATCAGTAACACTTGACCAGTGACCGTGCCAATGGTCATGGATCAAGGAATGAATGACTGTGGATATCGAAATAAACCTTTTTAGAAAATAGAATGAGTGCGGAAAGCCTCCTTAGTGGCAGTGTCCATGTGCTCGTTTAAAGGAATAATGGTACCAATATAGCTGGGAACCCAGCAAAACTCAACTGACTTTAATCTGCAAGAGATTAGAAACAGCTGATATTTGAGTTCGACTACCACAGGATGAATAGGATTAAATGACTCCAGAGCCAAGAGAACACTGAGAGTCAACCATAATGACAAATGAGCATTGAGCACTGCTATTCAGCTTGTGATTTTAAATGCCTCATGATTGTCAGGGCAATGGGATGAAAATCCTTAGAGGAGGTCCCTAGAGTACCGTGTTTCTTAAGAGGAAGAACAACCGCCTCAAGCAAGTCCGCAGGGACTGACTATGTCTCTCTAAATACGATTACTGTATAAACATTCAGTAAATTTTGAAATTCACCTTAAGGGAGATGAAGCACCTCGTAATGAATGCTGCCCGAGCCCACCACTGTAGAACCACAGAGGAACAGAGCAGACTCGAGTTTTCAGAGAGTAGAGATAGGTGGAACTGGAGGCGAGTGCAAAAGGCTAAGGTACAAGACTCAAAGGGCTTGCAAATAAGGAAAGCAGGAGGAAGGTGAGCACTGGAGTTAATTGCTGAAGAGTGCAAACCCTGGAGGTTCGTAACCATCTCCGGATCTGCTATGACAAAACCATGTAGACGAAGGACAGTCAACATGTCTGAAACAAATTTGCCAGCAATCTTACTGATCTTCTTCCAAATTTAAGGGAGAGGGGTGTCAAATGTAATGGTGGAGACATCGGATCTACAACCCTCCAGTTTAGCTGTACAGATGGCCCTACGAACCATCGAACTCGCATTCCGAAACAAAATACTGTAAAAGAATCAGGAGTCTGCCAGTGCCTTTTCCAGGCTGCAAGCTTACAGAGTACAGCCCAAGCACAGTGTAAACTGAACTTGGGACCATATTTACACACAACAAAAGGCATAAAGAAGAGAGCAACATCCAATAATACAGTATATGAAAAAAAATGGTTTGAAAGAAAGACAAATTGGATAGGAAAATTGGAAATTTGGAAAGAGGAGCAAAGAGAGCAAAGTGATTCCAGGAATCTGCCTTATCAAACCTCCACTGAGGGAGTGAGAGAGGAGAGTGGAAAGAAAAGAGGGTTATGAGAATGGGGAAATGGTTACTTATGGAGGTCATTAAGGACCCTCCACGAAAGATGGAAAAAGCATAAATGGAGGACGAGCAAAGGGAAAGATCAATACAGGAAAGGATGCGAATGGTTGAGTCAACATGAGTTGACTTGCCGGAATTCAGGAGAGACAATAGAGAAGAGGGGACAAAAGGTTCCAGAAGATGAACTCTAGTATTTGTTAGAGCATCACCCCCAGAAGGCATGCTGTCAGTTAAAATCACCCAAAAGGAGCACAGGCTCTGGTAATGAGTTCAAGAGGCAACTATGATTGGGAGGAGAAAGAGAAGTATGTAGGGGGGAGATAAATGGGACAGACTGTGTACCATTTACCTTTAAAGATACGAGTGCAAGAGGAATTAATAATCTACTGAAAAAGGAGAGGGATAAAGGGAACATTGTTCTGGATCAAGAGAGCAGTTGAGTTAGAAGCCTCAACAAAAGCTAGAGAGGAATAAAGAAAAGTATAACTTTGGAAGTGACAAGGAAGAGCAACAAGCATCGGCACCTGGAGACAGAAAAAGCATGAAAAAACTTCAAAACACACACACACAATGTATTCTAAATGCAATCCTAGCCTGTTCAAGTATTTGATGAAATAACTGTGTCCAAAATATGCCACGAGTGTTGAGGGTGCATGTGGGTCTCGGAACTCCTCCAACACTTTGGTAATCATCGATCTCCATATCTCTCCTCCCTTCCCATCTTCATCTTCCCTCTCCTTTCCTCTCGCCCCTCTCTCTTTCCCCTCTCAACGCTTCTCCTTCCCTCTCCCCCCTGCCTTATAAGTCTACAGACAACAGTGTTTCAAAATTTGACTTTATGAAAATTGCACAGGGGCGAGAGAGGAGGCCGGGTTTAGATGCTGATATTTTTTAAAGTGTGGCACTGGAGCCCAGCCTGCTTTGCCTATGGCACTTCCATACTCCCTCATGCTTCATGTGTGAAAGTTGAGTGAGGCTAACCCCAAGTATCTGGCATCCAAACCAACACAAAAACATCCTCTCACACAGAAATATGAAGGGAGTTGCCTGCCATAGCTTGGGTCTGTGTCTGTGTCTCCCCTTATCTACCTCTATTCTATTTTTTGTTTTATCTTCATCTTGTCCCCTCATCTTCCCCATTCCCCCTCATCTTACCCCCTTCATTACATACTATCTTCATCACCATAATCATCTACACATTACTATTTTCATCACTAACCATCTTCCCTACTCGCTATTTTCATCACCATAATCCAAAAAAATTAATTTCATCTTTTCAAGTAAATCACAAAAGTGCACAGTGAACTCTTATGATAAACACATTCCCAACTTAATTTCAGACTGTGAAAAATCACACAAGGATGGGTGACATGCTATATTTCTTAAAGTATTTAACTTAGGCCTCCCCCAACCACTTTAAGTATGTCCTGTACCCCAGACCATTCCCCCTGCAAAATTGGGTGAGGCTACCCACAAGTGTCTAGACAGCTATAGATGTCCAGTAGGTACTACTAGACTGATACATATAGTGCATGTGTACTCTTAGTGGGTTTTTTCAGCCTACACTTTCTCTTTTCTAAAGGTGCAGACTTCACATTCCACCCTCCAGACTCGAGCACTGAGAGCAACGATGAACGGTCCCCAGTCCCGCCTCGCCGCCCACCCCACCTTCAACAGCAGCAACAGCAGCAGCCAACCAACCCACCACCCACCCAACAGCATGCCCACCCTCAGCATGCCCGTAGACACCATGCCTTCACTCCTGCACATGCCCATGTCCTAAGGTGAAGACTTTGTTCATATGTAAAATATCTAACTTTAATAAAGTCATGGCACTTTCTGCATCAAGAAACATTGTAACATTTATGAAGAAGGAACTCTTATCAATCAACAGTAATGAAAGTTAAAGTTTATTGACTTAATAACTCAGCCAAATAATTTTCAGTTAATAATTTATGGCAATAGTGCTTGAGCATACCCACATATACATGTACAACATTCCCATGTACATCTGTACATCATACCCATGTATACATGTACAACATACCCATATATACATGTACAACAGACTCACATATACATGTACAACAGACTCACTTATTTGTGCAAAAGTAGACAGCTGAAAATGATGTTTCCAACAGCCATGTGTGTGCACATAAGGTGGGTGAACTTCAACTCTTTAGTTCCACCTCTTTTTTTTTGTGTGTGTGTGAATGTGTAATTGAGATAAATTGAGCCTGATAGAGCCTATTTGGGCTCTATCAGGCTCAAGAATCTCTACCCAGTTGATTGACAGATGATAGCCGGGACCAAAGAGCCAAGGCTCAACCCCCGCAAGCACACCTAGGCGAGTACAATGGTGTCGTGGAGTGATAGAGCCGGTTGTGTACACATGGAGCAGATTGGAACACAAGTCTATCATATCAACTGCATGCATAGACTCACTCCCAAAACTTTTTTTTTTCTAATTTTTACTATTTTTTTTATATATAATCAATATTTTTTATACGAATTCTGATGTATTTTTTTTAATTAAATAATTTGTTAGGTTAACTGAAGACAGGATTAGCCATGTGCAATGGAGGTGGTGGTGGGGGGGATGAAGTTATGTACCACGGGAGTAACAGCCATGTACCACGGGAGTAACAGCCAAGTACCCCAGGATTAACAGCCATGTACCATGGGAGTAACAGCCATGTACCATGGGAGTAACAGCCATGTACCATGGGAGTAACAGCCATGTACCATGGAAGTAACAGCCATGTACCATGGGAGTAACAGCCATGTACCATGGGAGTAACAACCATGTACTGTGTGAGTAACAGCCATGTACCATGGGAGTAACAGCCATGTACCAACAGAGTAACAATCATGTACCACGGGAGTAGCAGCCATGAACCATTAGTACATATACTTTATTTCGTTATAATTGCCGTTTGATTCGGGTTTCATTTCTTCCGTCAATTAGTGTAGCACCGAGATAAATATATTATAAATATTATTCATAAAAGATTCAGATTGTTTAGTATCACAGACAACCACTGAACTGGCCAGATTGTTTAGTATCACAGGCAACCACTGAACTGGCCAGATTGTTTAGTATCACAGGCAACCACTGAACTGGCCAGATTGTTTAGTATCACAGACAACCACTGAACTGGCCAGATTGTTTAGTATCACAGGCAACCACTGAACTGGCCAGATTGTTTAGTATCACAGGCAACCACTGAACTGGCCACATTGTTTAGTATCACAGGCAACCACTGAACTGGCCACATTGTTTAGTATCACAGGCAACCACTGAACTGGCCACATTGTTTAGTATCACAGGCAACCACTGAACTGGCCAGATTGTTTAGTATCACAGGCAACCACTGAACTGGCCACATTGTTTAGTATCACAGGCAACCACTGAACTGGCCAGATTGTTTAGTATCACAGGCAACCACTGAACTGGCCACATTGTTTAGTATCACAGGCAACCACTGAACTGGCCAGAGATGCTTTAACACCAGACAACGGAACTGGCCAGAGAGTTAAGAAACATTGCATAGTATTGTTAATCATAAATATTTTTAAGTCATACAAGAGCAATAACATGCAATGTTGTGACCCATGCATGTGTATCTGCTTCACTTGGGAGATTGTTCTTCACGGTTTAGTGACATGGGTGTGAGTTCTCCTTCTGATGTGTACTCAGTTCATGTTTGTCTTTGCATGCATTACCTATGCATAATTTTCATGTATTTGTTACGTAACTAGATTTGATGCATACAATGTTTGCTGATGAAAGCAGCAGGGCCTCTATTGCTATTATTTGACCCGTAATGTTGTCATAGACTATATATGCTTGTTTTGATGATAATGCCAACAATATAAACTAAATCTCATGCATAATCTTAAGTGTGTTCACATGCAAAATAAGTCTTTGATGTTTTGTTTATTGGCACACGTATCTCCTTGTTCACAGATTTATATCCAAAATAATTTTTCTAATTAACCCTTAAACTGCTCTGGGCTATAGTGTCCAACTCCCACAGGTGAGAAAAAAAAAAAATATTTCATCTTATGAAAGTGTTCATTTGTGTTCCCTAATCACAGGAAAAATAATAAAGAAAATCGTAGGTGGCATATTTGGGCCGCAATAGGTCGGGGAAGTCTGGCAAAAAAAAAGAGGCGTTGACACAGCAAGCGTCAGAGGCAGTCAGCTCCGCCTGAGCTGTCGGGCGGGAGTTGCCACAAAGATATTATTACCTAATTATTTCTATCTCTCTGATTTTTTCTAAGTTTTTTTTTTTGCAGTAATATTATTCAATAGTGTGTAGTGTGATATATTTATATAATAAAAAGTGTGAATCATTGCTATACTGAAAAGCATTGTGATTTATATAATAAAAAGTGTGAATCATCGCTATACTGAAAAGCATTGTGTTCATATTCGTGATTCAATTATTATGTCCATATAAAACAATAAACAAATAGTTATGCTGTTATTACACTATATACACAGGTTATATACAAGTTTCTGCATGTTTTATTTATTTATTTTTTTATTTATGCATATACAAGAAGGTACATTGGGATTGTGAGGATACATAATATGGTAATTACAATCTTGTAAAGCCACTAGTACGCGCAGTGTTTTGGGCAGGAGTTGTTCACCATAACTGTACAACTAAGCTGGTCTCATTAGTTCAGACTGACAGAGATTGCCACACACAGCTGATGCTCCCTCCCTCACTGGTTCAAGGCCAGATGCACTAACATTCCTCCTTCAAGTAAACTGTTTGTGGTGTTATTACACTATATACACACATTATATATAAGTATTGACATGTTTTGTTCACCATAACTGTACACCTAAGCTAATATGGTGTCCAAAGAGCATAGTGACCACCCTTACACAGCATGGCAAGTCATGAAGATGCCACCTCCCTCACCAAAATGGCTTCGCCCAACATACTCCTTTTGTTGTTATTACACTATATATACTCGTTATAGATAAGTATCTACATTTGTGTTCACCATAGTGAACAACTAAGTTGGTATGGTGACTGCAGACAGTAACATATGGCCACACACTAAAGGAATGGTCCAACAAATGGCTACTAAATTTCAACCCAAGTGTAAGGTAATGAAACTAGGAGGAGGAAACAGGAAGTCAGACACTGGATACTGAATGGGAGATGAAGTCCTTCATGAAATGGACAGAGAGAAAGATCTAGGAGTTGATATCACGCCAAACCTGTCTCCTGAAGCCCACATCAAAAGAATAACATCAGCGGCCTATGCGAGGCTGGCTAACGTCAGAACTACTTTCAGAAACCTGTGTAAGGAATCTTTCAGCACCTTGTATACCACATATGTAAGGCCAATCCTGGAGTATGCAGCCCCAGCATGGAGCCCATACCTTGTCAAGCACAAGATGAAGCTGGAAAAAGTTCAGAGGTATGCCACTAGACTAGTCTCAGAACTAAGATGCACGAGTTATGAGGAAAGGCTGCGTGAACTGCAAGACATTATCATCACATACAAAATTCTCAGGGGAATTGACAGGGTAGACAAGGATGGATTATTTAACACGACTGGTACACACACAAGGGGACACAGGTGAAAGCTGAGTACCCAAATGAGCCACAGAGACATTAGAAAGAACTTTTTCAGTGTCAGAGTAGTTAGTAAATGGAATGCACTAGGAAGTGATTTGGTGGAGGCTGACTCCATACACAGTTTTAAATGTAAATATGAGAGAGCCCAGTAGGCTCTAGAATCTGTACATCAGTTAATTGACGGTCGAGGCAGGACCAAAGAGCCAAAGCTCAACCCCTGCAAGCACAACTAGGTGAGTACACAGATTCGGCAGACGGCGCTACAGCCCCCTCCCTCAACACTACTCCTCCCACAATACTACAAACAGCGTGAACTATCACAACAATCCTGCTATTATTAGAACGTAGTATCTATATTTGTGTTCATCATAGCAAACCACTAAGCTGGTAGGGTGAGTGCAGACAGTAACAGATGGCCGCACAGATTCGGCAGACGACGCTACAGCCCTTCTTCCCTCAACATTACTCCTCCTACAATACTACAAACAGCACAAATTATCACAACAATCCTGCTATTATCAGAATGTAGTACTGTACAATTTACATTTGTGTTCACCATAGCAAACCACTAAGCTGGTAGGGTGAGTGCAGACAGTAATAGGTGGCCACACAGATTCGGCAGACGACGCTACCGCCCTCCCCCCCCCTTAACATTACTTCTCCCACAATACTACACAGCACAAATTATCACAATTCTGCTATTATCAGAATCTTGGTCATTTTTATCACAGTCAGAAGTCTTCTATAATACAATCATTGCTAAATAATACCAGTTACAATATATATACTGTATATATTTTTCAAATTTCTAGGCGATGCTGTGGTCACAAGCTGAACAGCAGTGCTGTGAGCTCATGCTGTGTGCGCCAATCTTGGTGGCTCATTCAGTACAATACTGAGGTTTTCACACCCAGGAATGTTGCCAACAATTTTTTTTTTTAAATGGCGTCTGTTTACAAGAGCCATGAGGAAGCTGACGTGAACCCTGTGTAGCCGTGGGACTTTTAAATCTTGCGTGATGCTCCCAATCATCATATGATGTCGTGCGCTATTTATCGACAGTTACTCAAGACATCATACGATGTTTTGAGCAGTTTAATGGTTAAACATACCAGATGCTTTTTCTAACTTCTGCAAAATTTTCTAAAGAAGTATAACAAAGGTGCTTTCAAGACATAAAATAAGTACTATACTGAATTCTGAATATTTCTCACGAGACACATGCAAAATACAACTGCAGAATTCCCTTTTCAAAATGCAAGTTTTGGATCAAGAGTTTCCTACAAAAAATTTTGAATGTGTTTCCGATCAGTTTTTGTTGACAGTGTTGGGAAGTCGAGAGACCTTTCAAGGGGCTCTATTTATTCAAAGTCAAGTTCAAAGTAACAATTGCCTTGAGTGTGCATACCGGGTTATGTCTGGCATCCAGGTGAGAGTGCATGCCAAGTCATCTCTGGTCTCCAGGTTTTGAAAGTACATACAGGGTCTGTAGATGCTGAAAATTATAAGCCGATATTAATAAAATTTTTGATTGGGCAATGGAAAATAACAAGTTTAACGGTGATGAATTCTAAGTAGTACTGTACTTTGGTATGGCAAAAATGAGGTAGTTAATGAAATACAGAGTACAAGACAAAGTCAGACTTACTCATAGAAGGAAAACGTGTAAAAGATCTGGTAATTATGATGTCTGACAACCTGACATTTAGTGAACATAACCAAGCAAATATAGCAAAAGGCAGAAAAATGATAGAATGGATTATGAGAATCCATAACACCAGGGATCCCACAGCAATGCTAACTATTTAAATCACTGGTGTTGTCTCACCTTGAGTACTGCTTGGCACTCACTTCTTTTTTCAGAGCAGAAGAGATTTCTGAAATAGAGGGAATACAGAGAACATACACGACACACATGGAATAAAGCACTTAAATTATTGTGACCATCTCAAAGCTATCAAAATGTACTCTCTGGAAAGGAGACAATTGAGATGTCAAATAATATATACATGGAAGACACTGGAAGACCAGGTCCCAAATTTTAAAAGTAGAATAACATACTGGAGCAAAAGATAGGGAAGGAAATGTAGAATAGAACCAACGAGTAGAGGTGCCATAGGCATAATCAGAGAGCACTGTAGCAATTGGCATTGGGATCAATTGGCTTCAGAGGTTCACAGCTGTTCAATACTCTCCCAGCACACATTAAAAATATTGCCGGAACAAAGGTGGACGTTTTCCAGAAACGATTAGATAAGTTCTTCCAAGAAGTGCCGGACCACTGGGCAGTAGTGGATATGTGGGCCTACAGGCAGCTGCTGAACCTGTTGGACTCTTTCTTGGTAAGTGCATACTAAGTTATCTCTGGCCTCCAGGCCTTGAGAGCATATACCAGGTCATCTCTGGCCTTCCGGTCTTGTTCTCCTTCACTTTTTGGTGATATGAATGAAGAGATAAAACAATGGCAGTTGTGTTGACAGATTTATAAACTAATGTGGAATGGCTTTGAGAAAACAAAGACTTTAAAATCAATGTTTCTTCTCTTTAATTCTAATTTACATTTTTCATCGAGGCTCAGGTTATTTTTAGTATATGTTCTCTTACTATACTTCTGTTTGATTTTTGTGTTTATCTTTACCTCCTTTAGATAAATGGAAAATAGTAAATACCTGCAATATACCCACTGCTTCTGTGCACTTATTCGAGCATCTTTTGTCCTTAGCAAGACGTGTCTGTTATTAAGAGACCTGAATGTCTTGTTATTGCACCTGCATTCACTTCAGTCACTATCCTTGCATTCACTTCAGTCAGTATCCATGCATTGAAGCCAATTGAAACAACATGCACATACCTTCCCTATAATTATAGCAGCAAGACTCCCCTGTTATATCCTTCTATGGGACCCATGACCATCGTGTCCCCCCCGCACCCTCAGGTCAAACACGCTGGAGAGTGTGTATTCAGTGGAGGGAGCGGTGGGTGGGCCACTGCGGCCTCCCACGGGATTCTCAGATTCCCGGGAGTTGTCAGAGGCCGAGTGCGATCGCGACCCTCGCGAGGTCAGCCTTGGTGGAGCACAGAAGGCCAGAGGACCACAGCCAAGGTAGGACTATTTTGTAGTCTCAGCAGATAATGAACGGATTACTTAGTTTGATTGGTAGTTTAAGAAATATTTCTTGAGCCACTGAAATAAAGACTGCACGTAGTATTCACAGTAAAGCTTGCACAGCTTGCCCTAAGTAGCCATGCAGAACCTGAAATAGATAATTACGTGTTATTTCTGAGAGGTTACTAGTGTGGGGTTACCTGTTGTCACCTAGTTGTGCTTGCGGGGGTTGAGCTTTGGCTCTTTGGTCTCGGGTATGTGTGTGAAGTTGCCTGTGTGAGGTTGCCTGTGTGAGGATATCAGTGTGAGATAACCTGTGATAGTTTACTGGTGTGAGATTGTATGGGATTACAAATAAAATCAATGCAATATGTATGGAATAAGGCATACAAGATGATGAGATTCATATCTAGATGAGTTAGCCATAAGCTGTGTGTTATTCTTGAGCTTTACCTTGCCCTTGTTAGGCCAGATTTAATTGTAGTAAATTATAAATTGACTTGGAAGTGTACAGCAAAGAATGACAAAATTAATCCCAAGGACATAGAAACCTCCCTTATAAGAAGAGATTAAGAAAGTAATTTAAAATTATCTAGAAATGCTAGAGTAAAGGGAGATATAAAAGTGAACTAATGCTAAGAGTGTATAAAGGGGGGATATTAATAAGGTGTTAGATATATCAACACAAAATGATAGATGCAAATTGGGCAAGTTGTATTCAGAAAAGATCCAGGTAATACAGGTTTTTAAAATAGGTTTGCTGATTTTTGGAACAAATTACCAGTTAACATAATACATGTAGGATTGTTGGATTGTTCCAAGCAAAAATTTTGCCATATATAGAAATGAGTTTGGGTGGATGGAAATAGGAGCTGCCTCTTACGACACACTGGGCTTTCTGCGGTATAGCATCACTCAAATTGTACTATACCACCACCACTTGCAAGGTGTACTATTATTTACATGTTGTTATGCAGTCATGCTTTCTACATAACGTATTCCTGTATATTGGACTACTGTACTTGCATGGGGATTACTTATGCTGCATTAAAGTAACTGTTTCCTAATGCTGAGTAATGTGTTCTGTAATGTAAGCTCCTTGAACCCTTGACAGTTTTTTGGTTTCCGAGTATTTGAGTGCATTGTTAAAGGATGTTTCTGGGCTTCCTTATTTTAAGTGTATGGTTATGCTAGGTAGTGTGGTTACAGCTTATTGTGTCTTATGTTGACCAGAAGATTGCAACCTTCAAAAGTTAGTTAAGTACTTTATTATACACCCCATAAGTTCTGTGGCTGGACACCATACCCATTCTGTGGGTGGCGGTGAACACCATACCCATCCCGTGGGTAGTGGTTGAAAGGGTTACAGAGGCATTAGTGGCCTGATAACCCATGGTGGGACTCTGTAGATGGTGTCTGGTGTTCATCACATTGTCTTATCAGGATGAAATTAAATTTGTAGTTTCTCTAATATATAATGGGATTTTAAAAAACAAACATTCTAACTTGTATATTCATTAAGCTCACATTCCTGTTTCTTGTGAAAGAAATACACAATGCTGAACACCGGATAGGTTGCTACCATAGACCTACAGGCCTAAGCAAGTGCCTGAAGGTTGACAGTATCATTAACAATGACTGTGATCAGGGTCTGCCTATGTTCACTATACAACAGCTCTTCATCAAGAGATTTCTAAATCAAAGAGACCCTTCACAACCATGAATTCTCTCTCTTGTTTCTAAAGAGAAATACAAGAGATTACCAGCCTTTAATAATCGACATACATTCTAGCACAGATTAAGCAAATAATTAGAGATCAAGCAATGCAGAAGATGTACAGAACAACACAGCAGTTGCAACATCAAGATCTGCTGGTTGGTACAAGAATTCAACCAACTACAAACCATTTATTTTCATGAAAGGGAGCAATACAAAAACAGAAGTACACTTACAATGCATCAGGCTTGGCTACCCCATGTGCATGGGAAAGAAGTTTATAGGTTGGAGAAGATGAGAGGAAATGTCAGCACTATGAAGATATGCCCAACAGACAACTGGAACATTATCTAAGGCAGTGCACAGTTACAAAACCAAATAAGATTTCAGCCGAGATTAAAGAGTGCATTAGTTATTAAAACACATTGGACATAAGCTTACTGAAGCAAACATGTGTTATAAATACTCATAAACGGTAAGCAAGACAGAAACGAAAAACAAGTAACATTTAGCAAGCCAGCCAGATACTTACGACCTGTACAGGAATATCAGGGTCCCTTTGAGGAATGATAGGGTCCTAGTAGTGCAATTGGGTTCATTCTCAACTTGCAATAAAAAATTCTGGGTTCAAATCCAAGGCGGGACAGAAATGGTTGGGCGCGTTTCCTATCACCTAATGCCCTAGTTCACCTAACAGTAAATAGGTACCCAGGAGTTAGTCAGCTCGTTGTGAGGCATCCTGGGGAGGGCCAGTAATTCAACTTTTGGGGGGGGGGGAAGAGGGGACCTCAATATAAGCCTAACATGTACTGTATGTGTAAATTTGCTGTCTGTCCCCTGACAATGAATTATCACTGCAAAAACAAAACAAAAAATAAAAAATATTAAAGATTCCAAGATAGGATATACTGGGTTTTGGGTTTTGATGGGATACAATATACTATATCCACAGCACCATCCACATTCACTGGAATAGTCTACATCAGTACTGTAATATAATATCATATCACTCACTATTCTGGTTTCACACTCACGCAACTCAAAGAATTTCAGTCCCAAACCTGTGCAGTTTTGATGGGATATACTACTTGAAAGCAAGACATCCCTTGGAAAGAACTAGCAATTCCTCTATCACTACATTTTGGCCCGGTACAAATAAATCTCGGAAATTTCCTCACTTTCCACAGTATTGTTTCGATCCACATTATTATTGTTTTTCAAGTGGTTCAAACCTTAGAATTAGAAGGAACCTGTCTCGTGACATGTATTTATTGAAAACTTGGGTTGGAACAACACTATCTTTGTTCCAATAAACTTGTATGACATGTTCCACAGTATGTTTCATCATAATCATACACAAGACAAGAAATGCGTACATTTCAGCCATAGTTGTTGCTTTTCAACATATCGTACGTGAAGTTGGTAATAATCCAGAAGCAGTTAGTTGCACTGTGTAACAGTTGATTTCCTTAACAAGATATTTCATGTAAGGCTCATCAAAATAAGCCATAAAATATTCACTTTCACTCATATTGTCACCAGTATATGGATAAGTGTGTGCGTGTGTGTAACACCAACATCCATATCATCAAATGGTATTTCTGGTACAAAATTGTCACAATCTCCTGAGATATATACAAGAGTTGTTACATTCTTGTAGAGCCACTAGTACGCGTAGCGTTTCGGGCAAGTCCCTGGAATACGATCCCCTGCCGCGAAGAATCGTTTTTTCATCCAAGTACACATTTTACTGTTGCGTTAAACAGAGGCTACAGTTAAGGAATTGCGCCCAGTAAATCCTCCCCGGCCAGGATACGAACCCATGACATAGCGCTCGCGGAACGCCAGGCGAGTGTCTTACCACTACACCACGGAGACTGTTCTATGTGAATACACCCGTGATACTTGTACTGGCACCAACACAACAGCTCCATTTTATTGTACTAAAATTCCGTTGGCCAAGAGATGAAGCTCTTCTATGTTGTACAGTAGACTGACCACGAGAAGTTGAAGAGGCCACAATGTCATCACTGTCCTCATGGCTCGACACACACTGGTGCAAATCTTTGCCTAGTATCGGTACCATGAGAACCACTAACACTTAAATTATGCCACTTGTATCAGAACCAGTGTCACTGAACCCAGAAAAAAGACTCATCTTCTACATTATCACATTGTTCAGGAATGGCAGATGGTACAGGTGGTGAGGATAATGGGTGGGGTTTTGACCTTGGCTGGCACAGCAGGACTGGTGAGAACCGTGTACTGGAGCATACCTGGAGAGGGTTCCGGGAGTTGTTCTACTCCCCGAGTCCAGCATGGAGCCAGGCTCGAATTGTGATATCTTGGTCCAACAGGCTGTTGCTTGGAGTGGCCCGCAGGCCCATATATCTACTACAACCCAGTTGGCCCAGCACTTCTTGCAAAAACCTAATTACCATAAATGCCTTTTAAAGACATCCACCTTTGTTCCTGCACACACTCCCTGTATCCATGTCTTCAATGACAGTACCACTCATATCTGGTACTTGTGTTACGGCTTTGGGTCATCAACATCACTAGTACAGTCCTCTTCAAACAATGTGTCTTGAATTTCATCTTAAGACAGTGATTTTTCAGTCACGCAAACCCATTTGAGACTGGAAGCTAGATGCGCATGTATCAACTATGATTTTTCACTTCAAACTGAGCCTATTGACAGCCATGTGGCATGCCAGGAATATTTTACAAAATGGCAGATGCTCACTGGAGGCCTCGGGTCTCCATCTGCTACCCAACCTACTGCGTGCGAGTTTTGAATCTTATGACGTACTAACAAACTTGATGTGTTAGTCTGCACATCCCCTTTCCTCACATCACAGTGTGCACAGAACAGTGGTTTTAATTCATAATTATGTTTTCCCCCTAAATTGTCAGGTTAAGAACACCATCTTGTCCTTGTGTTCTGTATAATTACATATTTATATTTTTTCATTCACAGAATAATCACATTAATACAATGTAGAAATTTTTGTTTTCCAGGCGGAGCTTCACCCCAGGGAGTGGCAACGACTACAGCATCCACGTGTGAGTCCTCCCAGCACTCCACACACTGCCGCCCCCTTATGTATACCTGTACAAGTCCTCCCAGCACTCAACACCCTGCTGCCCTTATATATGCTTGTAAGAGTCCTCCCAACACCCCATACCCCCCTGTGTATACCTGTATATAAATCTACTGTGTAATGACACCAAATACACATATCATCTTTTGACAAAGACTTTTTTTCCCCAAATCTGTAAGCAAGAAAATTCAGGTAGAGAGAATAAAAAAGACGAAGTGAAAAGACAAAACTAAAGAAAAGGCAAAACATACGGATCCTGTAGCACAAGTCAGCAGTGTCAGTTCACAACCGAAAAGTTCCAGATTCGATTCCTGCAATAGGATAGATTTTTGGGGCACATTAACACATGATGCATCTGTTCACCTAGAAGTAAATAGGTGCCCAAGAGTTAGATAAATGCTGTGGGTTACAACCTCAGGAAGGTCATTAGTTGGCCTATGCTCCTGGGGGGAAAGTTTGATAAGCCTAATGGCATTCCTGTCCTTAACAATGAGTCAATACTGTATGATAAAAGATAAAAAATGATTTTGTTTACAAGGAAATATGGAGGCAGTTTGAGAGTAGCCAGGGAAAGGGGGTTAGGGTGGTGGAAAAAGAATGGTATCAGTGAAGATGTAGTGTAAATGTAGTCGAGAGGAGGGACAGGTTGGCATCACTGAAGGTTGTTGCACATTTTCCCTTTGCAATTTGCTGCCACAGGGATACCTAGTATCTCAGGAGATACCAGATTCACCGTGGGTCCCCCCAAGTGCAGTGGGGTAGAGTGGGGAATACAGGGACAATTCTCCACCAGTTGGCCGTCGCACATCTCATCAACCTTAATGAGCGAGGTGCTGGAGCTTCCCCACTCAGTGTATATCACATGACAAGAATACCTAATCTTCAGGGTTGTTAGTGTAAGTAATTATCAAAAGAAGGCACCAAGTTTGGGGGGGCTGTTAGTGTAGCCATAGTAAATAATGGGAAGGTTAATACTGGACCCCTCAACGCTCACAAAATTACTGTGGCACTCCGCTTTTGCACTGTCAGTAAACACACTGGAACCAGGCCTATTGACTGGTGTTAACACTATACAAGAGTAACCTACTACCCTAGACATTAGCCAACAATTATACTTAGTCTCAAGCCTTGCCCCCACACATGTATTCCCCACAGTGTAGTTTATATGGAGAGTGAAGACTCAGCTTGAACATTGGGAAAGAAATGATGAGGCGAGAGATGAGTTATGGAAACTTAATGTCATAGAATTACATTTAATGAACATAGAAACTTGCATATGATACAGTTTAAAGCCAGTGTCAACTGAAATATCACAATTTTTGATGGGCAACTTGCCCATTAGGCTGCTCAGAACTGGATGGAGCCAGAATTTACTTTAACTCGCTCACTAGAGTGACACAGATTGCTAGAAAATCGAAAAGACTTTAAGAAATAATTGACAAGGCTTTTCACTTAATCCCTGCACTCAAATAATAATGTCAAAGTTACTGTAATTACACAAGCCATGTAACAGCTTAGCTTCACTAAGCTTTGGCACACAAAATAATTCTTAGCAAAATCAATAAACACCTCTGGTGCAATCTCTCAAGTCATATCAATTCATGATCAGTCATAGACAATAAATGTACACTCAAAATAATAATAATCCCTACCTTGTTCTGTAGCAATGTTAACTTACAAGGGGGAAAAAGAGAGGATCAGATTAGCTACCATTTAAATGTCCAGCATCCCCTACCCTTTCCCTATCTACTGTCTCATGTGCCCTTGTTATCCTGGCATGTCTTACTAGGCATGCGAAAGCTTGAAGTATCTCCTCATTCACAAGTTGTACCTCACTAGGTGTCACTGGCAGGATATTACACTTCTTGACCCTGTCCTCTTTGCCCCTGTACTTATGCACTGGAACAATACACTGCAACTCCTTTAAGCAACTGGGTAATTAGGAATATAACTGCAGCTAACTTGTGGCCTTCTGAAATATAAGGCTACCACACAAGTTAACTCCTGTTGCAGAATGAATTCCTACTAATAACTATAAATAAAATGTGACACCATGAGAACCTAGGGTCTTCACTAACCTCTCACTGCTAGAGAAGCAAGTGATCCTATGCTGTATGCTACTGATTACAAAATATGACTTGAATCACAGGAGTAACTGTAATATCACTGAATTCTGAGCTGTGGCAATTAAATTACAAGAGAGTTGTTTTCATACTCACCTGACATGTCAATAAAAAGCTTGTGAAGGTTTTCACCTGATGGCTTCACGGGTGGTAATGTTGGGAGATGGTCACTGGCTTGTCAATGTTTATGATGAGGTATGGCTTGAATGTTGTGTTTTAGAGTTTTTAGTGGCTTTTCAAGAATGTACCACCAATCACCAATGTATGTACCCTCATAAGCCATTGTACCTTTGTATAGTAAATGAATAAATGAGGACATCTGGATACACCCGCAACTCTTGTTGACAAGCCGAGTCCTCCTCTAACCAGGTTTGCCAACACTCAACAAACACCCATACAGGCTAACCAACTGTAAACCACTAAAAATCTGAAAATAATATACTGTGTTAATAATATTATTATTATTTAAGTAAGAGTACATACATATGATATATGACAATGGAGAATTTGAAGGTATGAAAATTATCATTTTTTTATTAACACAGGAATACACAGCGATGTGCTTCATATCAAATACCCTATTTGATATGAAGGATTATAGAGTATACTGTATATAACAAACTAGCTATGAGTTAATCTAATATCCCCATCTCACAGGATGGTTAATCATACATGGAATTGGTCTGGTGCTAGACACCAGGGTGAGCAGACGTGTTTTGATTGCTGCTGTTTCTAAACAGGCGAGTTGGCTCGTTTGGCTGCTACCTGATGCAACCACCCTACCCCACACCCACCTGCGACTCATTTCATGTTGATGCGGTGGCGGTTGTGGCATATTGGGCTCCTAAACACCTCCCTTAATCACAATATATTGTTGCAAGAGTTGGGAAAAGTACCATAGTACATTCATGGTGTGTGTGTGTGTGTGTGCAAGTACAGTAATTATCAAAAGAAGGCACCAAGCCAGGAAGACTATGTAGCACTAGTGTGTGTATAATTATAATTACCCAAGTGTAGTTACAGGATGAGAACTACACTTGTAATGTACCATCTTCCCAGTACTTTTTGCCATATAATGCTTTGAAACGACTAACAGTTTTGGCCTCCACCACTAACCTTCTCGCTTAACATGTTCCATCTACCACCGATTGCTAAGTGAACTGTGCACGTGTGCATGGGTGCGTGCACTTTGGTGCATGTGTTAGCTTGTGATGAATGGGGGAAGTATCACAATGGGTTTAAGAACACATTGTAAATATTTATGGCTATGTGACCATAAATTTCCAACCACGAAGGTGAGGGTGAGATAGACGGAGGATGGCATGTTAATTAATACCACCTTGTATCTAGTATTAAAAATGAAGTAAATTATTGCCTAAATGATTTGACTCCAATGTGTAATATTACAGTGTTATGCATAGAAATTTAAATCCAAGCAATAGTTCTAGTACCAGCAATGTCATATGATTAAATATGATGTGCATATATCATGTACAAAAGGCAGTAACAATAGATCAATTAAGTTAATTGAATTTGGTTCTCTTGGTACCTGGTTAAAAGTATAGTAATAGGGTCTACAAAATGCTGACTTTGGCAAGCTAAATTGTATATCTAGGAAATTATCAAGACATATCCTAGGTGTTCATCCTTGCACTCACTGCAACTTACTGCCTTGCCTGATGTCCACACCTATTCTCGATGAAATCATTTCTAAAAGAATGGTTTCTTTGTTTTCTTTTAAATGAATCACCCATCAAGTTATCATCATCATCAGGCCTTTTTCATATACAGTATTCTATATCACTGGTCTTCTATATATTTTTTCTAGAAATATCAACATGACTGAGGGAATACAAACTAATAACTAGTTGTGTATATTGGTGAAGCAGCTCTACAGGATGAAATAAAACAACTAATTGGGAGTGATATCCAACTGGATATATCATATTTTATTATAGAATTATTGCCACAAAAAAGAAGGCTTGATGACAAGCTATTTAAATCCAGATTTATTCATATCCTTATTTGATGTCCTGGGTGTTCAAAGTCAGTTTCATCCAGGATAGTCCATGAATCTGCTGAGATAGTTAGAAGTTGACGTAATATCCTCATCTCACAGGATGGTTGGTCAAACTAGTCAACTAAATTGCACTAGCAACCTTTATATACAAAAAGCAGCAGAGAAGTATATATGCATGGCCAGCAGACAGTGGAAGGCTAAATGTCACTCACTTTATACTTAAAAGCGTAAGTTTCATTTAGACTGCTATACAGACGTTTAATCCAGCAAAATCTCTTCTTAAACCTTAACAGTAAGTAATTCTGTCCAGGAGGCTGGTTTATTGGGCAGTAATCACTTATCCTGTGAGTCAACATACTGATATATAGCAGCATGTACAACACCCCTTCCTAATAGGAAGAAAACCCAGCTGGATTGTTCATCCTGTCACTGGTATCCAGACACAGCTGGGACTCAATCAACTGTCTCATGTAAACAGACTATAAAATAAGATTAATATCTTACAACCTTCAAGTTTACATATCTTGCTGGTGCAAAGTAAGACCTTTTAAGAACAATATCTATATTTGACAAAGTGCTTAACAGTTGCTTGGATATTGCCAAAGCTCAAGTCTATTAAAATGGAAGGGTTACCACCTGGCAGATTCCTATGGAAGGGTTACCACCTGGCAGATTCCTATGGAAGGGTTACCACCTGGCAGATTCCTATGGAAGGGTTACCACCTGGCAGATTCCTATGGAAGGGTTACCACCTGGCAGATTCCTATGGAAGGGTTACCACCTGGCAGATTCCTATGGAAGGGTTACCACCTGGCAGATTCCTATGGAAGGGTTACCACCTGGCAGATTCCTATGGAAGGGTTACCACCTGGCAGATTCCTATGGAAGGGTTACCACCTGTCAGATTCCTATGGATGGGTTACCACCTGGCAGATTCCTATGGAAGGGTTATCACCTGGCAGATTCCTATGGATGGGTTACCACCTGGCAGATTCCTATGGAAGGGTTACCACCTGGCAGATTCCTATGGATGGATTACCATCTGGCAGATTCCTATAATACTCTGGGAACATATCTAGGGATTCTTATCAGTGCTGATCACTTAAGATATTGTCCAGCCATAATAAAAACATGTTCTGGAAATTAACCTATTGTCTAATAAATTTCACTACACAGTGCATAATACAAGTCAAGATCCCAGTAAACTCATGTTGAAGTTGACTTGAACTCGTAGGTGCCACTGATGCTCATTATCATTATTCACAGAAGAATGAAACTGCAGACAAATTTTCATAGAAAGACGACTTTTGCCAAATGTGGGACTTTGATCATGTTCATATAACTAACAAAGAAGTTAACGAAGAATCGTAGTTCATGCTGGAAAAACTTGGAATATGAGTTTAGGTATTTTGACAGCTCAACAACACTGGCACACTCACACTACCATTTAAGAGTAATTGTCCTAAGTTGCCAACTAATTTTGGCCTAGCCAAGGGTAGACTGCAAAATTCATAAACACATGGTTACAAAGGAACCCAGACCACTTATGCCAAAGTGGTTAAAGATCATGAACAGTGTGTATTTACTGAGCGAGTATACTCTGTTGAGTCCCCAGGGCAAGTGTTGCCACTATTTGGAACATAGTGGTATACTTGATGACAAGACAAGTCCAGCCAGAGGTGCTTCTGACTTCAGCAAATTCTGTTGCAAACTTAAATTATTGTATATGCCCTGGTCCTTCTTTATTAGCTGACTTAGCCAAACTTTTGCTATATTTCAGACTCTTCTCATCCAGTAGTAATCATGAATCAACATTGTACAATAGTAATCATGAATCAACATTGTACAATACCAATCTTTAGCCAATTTCAGGCAACTTGAGTTTTGCTGGGTTCCCAGCCATATTGGTGTTGCCTCTAATGAGCTTGGAAACATTGAAGCAATAGATGGTTAGCTATTACAAATAAGTAAGTACTCTCAAATGTGACCCATCTCCATGGTATTCCTCCTGTTACATAAACAGAAAATCTGAAAATTCTCTGTCTGTGATATGCATTAGCCACACATGATTAATCCACGGGCATTTAATGGAACAGAGACATGCACTTCTCAGCCTTGCATTGTCTTGCTGGCAGTCGCACACAAATTCATAGAATGTTCTCAGTTTCAGGATGATCGAAGAAACTTCCTGTCCTTCTGTTCTTTTGTGTCATCTCACAATAAGCTCCTCCATGAATCTGATTCCTACGACGCCACCCATCCTGTCTTTCTGCTCTCGTGTTGACATCCTGAATGATATCTAGAACCTTATGGATATTCTTTGGCATAGATGCACCTGTTGATAATAGCTTACAAAGTCTCCACAAATGTGTGTGCCTGGGTGACAATATAGAAGCATTCTTAATGGTACAACAAGATGAGTGTAACAGAAATGATACTCAATTTTTGTGGTCTAAGGCAGGGCCAAGTCAGGGGTGTTGCAATGTTCATCAGCAAATCTGTGCCCAACCCACTGATGTGGCCATCCCTAGTCATCTAGAAATTATGTTCTTCAAAAATTTGCATAAATCCTGGTACCTGAATACTCTTATGTACAATGTATAGACCTCAATGGCAGGGTGCTTGCCCAATCAACTTCCTGTTGGACAACATAGACTCCCTGCTAATGCAGCACGACTGTCAGCACATTCTAATTGTCAATGACCTCAATCAGTATCTCATACAGAAGGATTTTCATGAACTCTTAGCAGTCTTCAACCTCAAAAATGTTGTGACCTTTCCAACCCACATATCAGGCTCGTCCCTCAACCCTGTCGAGGGTTGTGTATATATATGTATATATATATATATATAGTATATATGTATATATATACATATATACTATATATATGTATATGTATATATTGTATATATATACATATATACTATATATATTGTATATATACATATTATATAACATTCTGTTGCTACTTTCTTGCAACCATGTGTACAAATAATTATATGCTCTCAAAATGACAACTAATCACCTTATTCAAATCTATAAGTCACCTCTAGAACAGTACAAACCTTTTCTATACTCCACATAAAAAGGGTAAGAAAGCACAACACTAAAATATGTGCCCCTTCATACAAGAGTTTTGGGGTGAACACTGACCAGATGAAGAGGTGGTGCCGCTGCCAGGCCACATTCACCAAATAGAGGCTGATGGTAGCCAGCCGCGCACACCACCAGATATTCAACGACTGTTGCCACCTGAAAAAGTACACAATTAATAGCCCTCTGGAGTGTTACAATTATTACGAAACCCCAACACTGAATGTAATGGAATGCCACTTTCTGGAGGAACCCCCCAGTGACTTTATGAAACTATGTTCCTGAAAACAAATCCACAAGGGCCGTTATCTTGAGGTTATCTTGAGATGATTTCGGGGCTTTAGCGTCCTCGCGGCCCGGTCCTCAACCAGGCCTCCTTTTTGTTACACATCCCCCGGGAAGCAGCCCGTAGTCTAACTCCCAGGTACCTATTTACTGCTAGGTAACTGGGGCATCAGGGTGAAAAACATTTTGCCCATTTGTCTCCGCCTCCACCGGGGATCGAACCCGGAACCTCAAGACTACGAATCCGAAGTGCTGTCCACCCAGCTGTCAGGCGCCGTGATGAGGGTTCGAGCCTACGCATGGGATGTTCCCAGCTGCGCCTTAGTCAACTGTGCCATGACATGTGCCACAATCAGTATCTCAGACATACATCATCATGTGCCACAACCATGTCATGGCACAGTTGACTAATGCGCAGCTGGGAACATCCCATGTGTAGGTTTGAACCCTCATCATGGCCCTTGTGGATTTGCTCATTTGATGTATCATGCTATTATGATTTCTGTGTGTATATTCCTGAGATTTTGCCTTACTAAATGGTCACATCAGTCATGGATAGTTCTGTAGGCCAAACAGGAACCAGCACCAGAATCTGTTCCCCTTCACAGAGGCAAAGAGAGCAGGTAACAATGTGCCACCTCACCAGAGAAAGACTCCAGAAAGTCAGCAAAACTAACATAACTGGAGGGTTTGTCAAAACTGAATCCTTAAAATAACTATCAAAAGAATAATGCAAATGAATTACAAAAATCAAGGGATTCAGACAAATGAGATCGAAGATCATTAGTACCAATTACTACCACCAGACTGCCTGGTCCCAGCTTAAGACTTCCAGCTCCTCACAACAGTTCTGAACCTGATGATGAAACTCGCGATGAACAGACAAACATGGAAGGGGAGGGCAAGGGGCCCTGGCAGAAGGTCAGGGAGCCACTTGGGCTCCTCCAGAAATTGGAATTTCATTACAATCTATACCTGCTTGATGGGGGGTTCTGGGACTTTTTTACTGATGCATTTCTGGAGAGAACCCTCTGTGGCTTCCTGATACTACACTAATCACAAAGAAAGGCACTTACCAGGAAGAATGAGAGGCAGCAGGCACTTATGACGACGAAGAAACCAGTGCGAGCAACATGGCCCACAGCCACACATGACAAAATGGGCCCAGGAACATTAACCAAATACTGGGTTGCCAGTCCCCAGTTAGAATACTAAAACCTGAGAGCCTGAATATCAGCATAATATATTAGAGAAAACGGTGGCAAAATCTGCATATTTACGATCATCATCAGCCCGAGGGTAGACTGCAGGCTAGCTCGACTTGACACTGCGGACAACCTGGGAAAAGCAAGCCTCGAAACAGGGAACCAAGGAAACGGCACCAAACAATAAGGTATCCACCAAGACAAGTGGTGGCATGCAGATAGCAGCATAGAGCCACCACAGGATACAACAAATAAATGACCCACAGTCAAACCAACCGTGCACTAATCACCAAACGATTCCTACAATATATAAGAGGGAACATTGATATTTCTAAATATCATATTTAAGATTATACAGTAATATTTTGATCTTATTTGTAAGAATCACTATCAAGATAATTGTAAATCCCTTTCAAAATATTGTTACAACATTTGCTTTTTATTATTTCAGACAGTATGTAGCAAAATGAGTTTATTAAAACTGGGTTGCAGTATTCGAGTGTGTAATTGAATCCTGATCAGCACAGTGGACTCATTTCCAAATAATATATAATACATTTTTTAATGTTAAGAGAGTGTTTGTTGGTGGTCAGCCATAAATGGACTTTTTTCCAGCTCAGCATTCACTGTCACTTTGAACAAATGAACTAGCATTTGAGAAAATATAAGTTGTGTCATCAAAAAACAGAATTGACTTCAGGCAAGTCATTAATGTAAATGACAGAGGAGTGGACCAAGCATTATACCCTGTGAAACAACAATGTTAATCAGCAGTGTAAAGGTACTATCTATCACAAACACACTGGTGCCCGTCACTGAGGCAAGATTGAAAGCGAGTGTCCTCTGATATCATAGTGGTGCAGTTTAATAACAAGGTTATTGTGGTAAACTGTGTCAAAGGCTTTATGCAGGTCTACATATAGACCAATAGGGTACTCATTTTTGTCAAGAGTTGCATGTTTAAGTCAAGCAACCTAATTAAAGCATCATTGGTGCTTTTTTGGAGTCTGAAGCCATATTAACAAGAGATGAGTGTACTGTATTATGTTAAACTAGGTAGGATTAAAGTTAGTTGTACATTAGCTTTTCAAATACTTTGGACATGGCAGACAGGATTGATATTGGTCCAAAATTGTTGATACAAATGTGATTAGAATATTTATGGAATGGGATTACTCTAGCTATTTTTTTTTCTTCAAAATATCAGGGAAAGCTGAAAATTCAAGTGATTTATTGTAATGCTGTGACCAAAACTATAACACTAACACTACAAAGTTCCTACTTACCTCTCCTTACATTCATCCTTCGAGATGATGTACGTTAAATAGGCCAGATATGTGAGGAGACTTCCCCCGAAAGTTTGAGTTGCTATGAGAATCCCATGGACAAATGGATGGTATGAGGTGACTCCAACGAAGCCCGCACTGATGTCAACAGTGGTTAAACTGTTGCTATTCCCCTGAAAATAATTTAATGCCAAATTTACTTAACACGATAATTTTGTTCTGCAAATTTTAATACGACAGAGATTACATATATAACACCTGGATTTTTTTTGTTTAATGATAACAAAAATTTAATGTCAATTAATGGGGTCAACTATACAATGGTATAATTATACAACTTACCTGATAAAAGAAATGAGCAAAAGCGAGCCAGTCTATTGATAGAGCTGCCTCCTCCCATGAGATGCACTTTGCAAGAGTGAGTCTGTAGATGACAGAGCAGAGCAGCCAGTTCTGAACCAGCACTAGTGACATGAGTCCAATGTTGTCCACTCGCTGAAGGAGAAGGCAGAGGAGACTCAAGGAGGTGTAGATGTATCTCATTAAAACACACATTTTTTCCTCTTCAGGTTCATAGACATCCAGTGCCTTTTTAGTTTTAACTGTTTGGCCTTTAAAGTCAATCAGTTTAGCTTTAAAAAGCCCATACACAAATACTATAACGATTGCTAAATGTGCCATTTGAGCCTCAAATGTTCCGCTGCTGACGTCCTTTCCCCAATAAGGAAAATGCCGCCCAAATATTAAACCACAAGTCACAAGCACTAATGGCAAACAAGTGCATGTAAATAAAAATAATGAAATTACGAGTCCAGACAAAACAACACATACAAGCACAGAGCCTCCAACCGCTCGAATAACATCTCCCAAGTCCTCGAGATGCTTCCATTTGTCTCCTGTAGAATTCCAAGACCTCATTAGTCTACTTAATATCAAACTCACAATTAGCAGAAGCAACAATTTGTTTGGGCGTTTACAGAGTCTTTGTAACAGGGTAATATTTCCATCATCTCTTGTGATTCTTGTTGGTAAGTCGGAGAAGCCACGATCCGCCTTTCTTCCAACACCGAGAAGATCAGTTGCAATACTTGCATTGGTTTTTATACTTGAACCAAATGTTCCTCTAAGACTCTGGACAACAATCTTCAGAATGAGTCCCATGTGAAGACTGTTTATCAAAAAGTAAGCAGTTTGATGCTCCTCTTCCACAAGACTTGTCCCCAGGAGACTTAAGGTATGCAAACCAGTCCCAAGCAGCAGGAAGCTGTACAATAAGTCTGTGTTTTTCTCTTTCTGAAAATAATGAAGTTTATTATAAGTTAGTATTTCCACAGAGCATGCAGTGGAAGAAATACATTATCTAATAACACACTTGATCCATGATGTAAAGTATTAAGATATATACATTAATGAGCCGTACAAAAACTGAAGTCCTACACAACAGACCGATTTCGAAACGTTTGTCATGTAGACAAATTTGTATATTTTTAACATTACCTAGACCACCAAATCCTGACAGAATAACAATCTGGCCAAAATAATCTGGGAATAAATATGTAAGGCATCTAAGTGTACTAACATCTATTATGCATGCATGTATTTCCAGTTAATTTTAAACTGGACAAATACAATAGTAAATAACGCTGCAGAAGTGTTTTTGAAAGTACTGTAGTTGAAGCCTGGTTTCTCAGAAATAATAACACACCTTTAAAGATACTGTATCCTACTTAAAACATCATAATTATTCCAGTAATCTAAGGTTGAATGATGAATCTCGAACTAGATGAACATCAATTTCAAGATTTGTGTATTTTGTAGTTCCTTGTGGCATTTCTCCAGGTGAGCCTGCTTGTGCCCCTGGGTGGCTTCTCTTCTTTGGTATTACAGGCTTCTTCAGGTTAAGTGAATTATTCAACTTATCATTACTATTATTATTATTGTATTTTGTACAAGCGATGTACAAAATAGTAACAGTTAAGATTACTTGTTTAAAATGACAACTTCAAGAACAAGATGACATACATTCAAACTAAGGAAACAAAGCTGCAGAAAAACTATTAGAAAGTTCACTTTTGCAGAATGGTTGATGGTTGGAACAAGTCAAAACAGTCGGTAGTTTCAAAGTGTCATATGACAAAGAGTACTGGGAAGATGGGACACCATAAGCCCTCATCCTGTAGCTACACTTGGGAAATTACTGTACATGAAACAGGTGCACAATGCATGGGTTAATTGGAGATAACAAGAACCAGTTCTGAACAAATTTACAAAATAGGGAAAACAGAAGGGAAGAAAGAAGATGCTTTTAATCAAATAAATTACAATAGCACCTCTGTTTACAAATTTAATCCATTCCCGGAGACGGTTTTTAACCAGAAAATTCGTAACCTGAAACAAATTTTCCCATAAGAAATAATGTAAATTGAATAAATACATTCCACACCTCCCAAGAATCTCAACTTCAAAATACATTTCATTTCTAATTCACACAAATATTTAGTACTATAGTATGTACAAATTATAGCATAGTACAAATTATAGTATGTACAAATTATCATTACCTTTATTGATGAATCTTATTGGTGAATGGAAGACGGTGAGGAAGGGAGGGGGGGGAGGAGAGGTGTTACCGTTTGGAAGGGAAGTCCCCTTCCATTATAACAACAAGCACTGATGACTTCTTTGGGGTACTCTCTCGCCTACGTTTTTGCCTGCATACAACTAAGACCTGGTTGTGGCTCACTGCTTGCTTGTCTTACTAAGAATCTGTCTAAAGACATTTGTTTTCCCTACATTTTAACACTTGTCTGTAGTGAGACATCACATTGTCATTTAAAAGGTCAATGCTTCTAAGCCTGCTAAAGTTTTATCTGGGTTATTCTTTTCAGCAAAACTTTGCAGTTCTTCCCATACTGCACATATTTTCTTAATGAGGAAGGGACATCCTCCACTGCCTCCTCCTTCCCTGAAGATTTGTTGTACTGCCCAGCTAGTTCAACAACCTGTGTACCATTTTCATGTTTATGAATGATCTCTCGTTTTTTTCTCTATGGTTATCCTCACATGTGTTTTCTTAAGTTGAACCTTACCACTGACTTTCTTGGGTCCCATGGCATGGTATATAATAATTACTTTTATGTTTAGAAGCCAAAAAAACTGAAAAACAATGAAAGTCTATACAAAGAATTCAAGCGCAATCATCACCTGGCGATCTCAAGTGACAAATTTCAGTTTGCCAAGTGGGAGCCACTGGCAAACTGAAGCAAGGGCGACAATGTCACAAGGAACCACACGCTCAATCGCCTATACGCATATCAACAAACTACGTAACTCTAAGGTAAAGTTTGTAACCCGAATCAAATTTTACGAAGAAATTGGGCTCGTAACCCGAAAAATTCGTAAAGAGGGGGCATTCGTAAACAGAGGTGTCACTGTATTAGAAATTAAAAGAACAAAAATCAGAATGTAATGTAATGGAATGTTTCTTTCTGGTAAGGACCCATGACTATCTGGTCTCTGAAGGAGACCATGGTCTCCCTGGCCAGGTCGAGGACCGGGCCGCGGGAATGTTGAGCTCTGAAATCATCGCAAGGTAACCTAAAGCTATCTCGTTGAGATGGCATCCTATTATTGGGTCACATCAGTCACAGGAGTCTTGTTTGACCTACCAGACACCAGAACCTGGGCCCTTTTTTTTTAGAGGTACATAAAGCAGGAAGACTCTCACCACCCTCACTGAGTAAGCATCCAGAAAGTTGGTGAAGCTTTGCAAACAACTGCAAGGTTCATAGAAAATGAAAAATTTAAACTGCCAAACAATTGTGCAAATGATTCATTAGAAGTAATTTGTTCAAACTAACCTAGCTTGAACTGTTAATACTGATAGCCACCACCACGCAGTTCAAAAACCTGAAACCAGAAGTGATGGACAACAAATTGACAAACCAATAAACCTGGTAGGGATAGAGGGATCCACCAGGACTAACTGAGAGGCGTTTCATTTCATTCAATGCTGGTTTTCTGAGGAGCGTTTTGATAGCTCCCTGAAGCTGACTACTGTACCCACAGTGACAAAAAAAAAAAAAAAAACAGACATACCAGGGAGGAGGGGAGATGGCAGGTACTAATCTGAATTGACCCCTGGCCAGGAAACCAAGCCCAACACCACATATGACCAACTGGAACCAGGGACATTTACCAAATACCAAGCTGCCAAGACCCTCTTCGACCTCCAAAACTTCCACGTCCAAATATCTACCCAGGACATGTCCATAAACACTGGCGAGAGAATGCCATACATCCGAACATCAAGGGCACAAGGGTAGACTGCAGGCTGGTTAAACTTAAGAAACTGCAGACAACCTGAGAAAGGCAAGCCATCGAATAGGGGACCAATGTAACAGGATCGACCCACAAGGCATCAACCAAGGCAGAATTGGTGGCATAAAGGCAACGGTAGAGAACCGCCACTGAATACAGCAATCCATTACTGCATCCGAAAAGCATCCACTGCAAGGGTCTCGCAGTCGTAGAATGGCACTGCATACAATGGAGATGACCAAAGCCATGTCGATGCAAAAGGATTCACGTCCAGGTGCCCAAACATGACAAATTTCCTAGTTGAGTCAACCACAGGGAAACAGTCAGAACGAAGCCAGAACATGGAGTCCCAAGGAGTCCGAACCCTGTGCAGTGCAAGCCACACAGCTGCAACTACCCAAACCGAACTGAAAGCCCGACAAAGCAGATCAATGACCATGGCTGGCTTGGTCAGGGTTTCTTCTGAATTGTTTGCAGTAATCTGGCAGTTTCGATGCTTCATTTTCTATGAACCTTGCAGTTATCCATAAAGCTTTGCTGATATTCTGGCTGCTTTCCCAGTGAGGGTGTCAATAATAGTCCCCCTGCTCTCTGGACCTCTGTGAGTGGGGGAAGCCAAGTTGTGGCTCTGGTCGCTGTTAGGCCAAACAGAACTCCTGCGAATGATTTGATCCAGAAGTGGAAAGCCATCTCAGCAAGATAGCTTTCAGGAGGCTACCAAGAGACTCTTCCCAGAAATTATTTATTGTAAAATTATATTTTACAAATTATGCTGTTAAGATACGGTAAATCTATGGCACCTTACTTTATATTTCTCCCTCCATCCAGTAGTACAGAGTTGAGGTATCATTACTAAGATGTATATAAATGACACAGCCAGGAGCCAAGGAGTTGGACGCAGCAAGTAGCAGATGTGAGAACTTGAAGCAGCTGCACAACAGAGAAGCCAGGCCACAAATGTGCCACCAGCCCCCCAGCAGATGGCAAGCATATTGAACTCCCTCGACACTGAAGGATCTATGCCAAGTCTCCACAGACTTACTGTCAGAGTCTAGAAAAGAAATGGAAATATGAAATCAATTTCAAATTGTTTAAGCTATTTGTTTTATGTCATCCATATAGTGTACATAGCCTCTTCCCCAAGACACAGAAATTTTAGCTTGCTATAAATATTTCCCCAAGCAAAATGAATCATGAAATGAAACTGGCCGATGTAATGAGAGAATTGGCGAGAAAAAAGGCTTGACACCTTGCAGCCATTGGAGCTATGTGAAGGAGTTACTAAGTCTCATCTGTCAACTCAAAAGATCAACCAATTTTTCATTTTACAACTAGAACCAACCAAAACAACAGCACTGGTGGAAACGAAGATGGTAGGAAGGTCATAGCTCTGAAGTTTTGATGCAAGAGCTTCAGACACCACTTGTTGACACTCCAGGTAAAACCTGCACACTCGCTCTGCTTCAGCATCCTTATAACTTGGGTCTGGAGGATTCCTGTACAGCTTCTCCAAAATATCCTTATGAAGCCTTGTTGCTTCTTCAAAGAGCAGCTCTGCATTATCTGAGTGAAATGGAAAACAACAGAGTACTTATTTTTGTAATATTTGGCATAAATTGCATAATGATAATCTAAAATCAAATTTAGTAATCATTAAATAACTGCCAGCAATGTCTAATTAGTGAGTAATATGAATGATTATTAAGCTTGTAAGTAAGCAATATCATGTTATTTTGAGACTCGGACACCAGAATTAGATAAATTATTCATGTGTACTAGGATGTGTTGTGTGTGTACTAAAAGTATGTGTGATACTTTTATGTGATGTACCTACATTGTTTGTTACCCCAGGAGGCTCCATGAGGAAGTAACGGCTGGACTTTTTCTCCACCATGCAATATGTAAGTGTTAATTAACTTAATTCAGAAGGCTTAAGGCTTCATGAGGTTGCACCGTGTTATGAACCTTGTCTTCTGAAGATATCGTCTGGTGGTGACAAGTTATTAACAATTTGCCTAAGAGAGAGAAAGCTGCATAAAAGTATTAAAGTAGACATTTGTTTCCTGGAGGTACAAGTTTCTTGGTTGCTGGGAGGTCGTGTGTTACTGATATCTTTCCAACCATGAAACTACTAGTACAGTAGTACCGAAAGTCAAAGGTTTATTTTGAAGGATGTGTACATTGTAGGCAGATCTTTTGTAAAGGAAAAATTGACACATTTATATAACCTACAAATAGAGTACTGTTATATGGGAATATATAGATTGATCAGGAATGATGAGAGATCTGGTGTCAAGGGGCAGGGGACGTGGCAAGCTAGGATGGACACAGGCGAGATTTGACGGAGAGAGGATGTGTTTACCGATGGCCTTTATTTTAGAGGGTTGCATTCTGCCAGATATTCAGACAAACCAGAAATTTGTATTTATTCAATTTGCAAAAGATCCTAGAGTAGTTTGAGGTATTACCAAGTGGGATAAATAGAGAATCCAGGTTTCCTAATACAGTATATTTATATGTGTATGGTTAAGATTCTGGAATGTGTGGTTACTCTGTAAACTTAGGATTGTTAGACCAGAATATTTAGGGTTTATTATATTGCTACGTCTTACCGTGATGAGCACGAAGTCCTGACCCACGGGCAACTGCCAGTAACTGCTTTGCAGAATTATGGTGCAAGGACATTCTTTTCTCGACACCAAGATGTGAAAATATTTCAGCAAGAGGTTGTCCAATGTTTCCTTCTGGAATCCCAACTCCAGTTAAGAATGCTAGTGTTGAGGTAAGATCAACTTGCTTTGCTAAACCTATCTTGTTAGTTCTGGAAAAAAAATTGTAGGTGAAAAAGATCTTTAAGTACATATTAAGTACACTCTTCTGAACAGTACAAGCAGTTGCTACCAAAGAAAAGATGCTATTGAATCTTAATTTAAAATATCATGCAATCAGGGCAAGTCACCATTCTGCACCAGGATGAGACTTTCAAACTGCCCATACCAGGTCATACCAGAAAGTACCTTTATATATACAACTCAAAGCCCTTGCTACTTGCCATTACAAAGACCACCAAGCAACACCCTTGCTAAACACCAAACATTCCTCAGAAAAGATAAATACATTTGCTCTTAATTAACATAACATCCATTTCCAAAATGTTGATGTGTGACCAGTCTCATCAGATACTTGTGCCCCATTGTGGTGAAGGTTAAAAAGAATGTCTAAGCACACACACTGAACACATTGCTAAAACTTTCAAGGCAACATGGCAGATACTTCTAAAGTACTGAAGCCTGAAAAGTCTCCAGATAAAATCTCTGAAGAGGAGCTTATCCCTCTCATTCAGAGAAACCCACTTGTGGTGATCCCATATCCAGAGACAAGCTGAAGAGAAATCCGAAATCCAGTGACAAACTAGAGAAACCAGTTTAGAGCCTTCAGTCAGACATGGATACACTAAGTAGGCAAAATTGAGTCATACCCAGAGCCAAAGCAAGCAGAGTGATAAAGATAGCCACTCTGGTATTCCAAACTAGTCCCTACTAGGCAAGATATTGCAAATCCTTGAGCTGGTTTTGCTCAAGATGGCTCAAGGTTTTGCTCAACATTCAGATAGTAAGTTTCGCTTACTGTCTGGATGTTTTCTCAGTGAGAGTAATCATAACAATCCCCTACTTCCTTTACCTCTGAGGATGGCCAAGTTCTGGTCCTAGTCCCCAGCAGGTCATAAAGGGCTGGTATGGCTAATGCGACTCAGTAGGTGGGGAGCTATCTTACCGAGATGGTTTCAGCGACTCTCCGATGGCTCCTCCAGATATCCCTGAAATAATTAAATGCCCCTTAAACACAGAGATGAGCAGCTTCCAAATTACAACAATAAACTTGCAATTTAGCCAACAAAAAAAGGGATTGTTTGCCAGCCAAGATGAAGCTGGAACCTTATACCACAGACATGATTGCAAGGATGACCAGTACACCAAAACAGTTAGGGGGTCCATCTCCACATTATAGTTCTGATCTCTGACCAGGGATCCATGTAAGTCTGCCTGCACCACAGTCGAGTGAAGATAAGATGAGTGAAGATGATGATGGAAGCCAGATGAAAGAGGCAAATTGAAGGCATCAACTGGTACCCAAAAACATGATCGCAGGAGAGCAGAGGAGGAATCTAGCTTATACAGTATCCTACTGCAAAGGAGGATAATACAACTGTGAGGAGCAATAAACCCTCAGGACCAGGCACCAAGCACCATTGATGGCCAAAGGGCAACCAAGAATCATTCTCTGACATCTGAGTCACAGGCAGCATTTCTACTTTTTTCATAATATGCCATGATTATTCTCATACTATTCCATAATAATTTTGTACAGAGAAATGATGGTCCCATATCAACTATCCAATGATAATCCATTTTATACTGTTCCCAAATGATCCTTTTCACTCTGTTTCAAGAAAATCCTGAAAAAACTGCAAACTGCAACATCACATCCCAAATAAGATGCAGAAGCCATCATAACCCAGCATATAACACATACAAATAAACTGAACAGGGACAAGGGGTTTATGGTGAACTCTCTCAAAGAAATGTTAGGTACACCAATAAATTTAAAAAATGTGTTAAGAAATAAATGAGCTTAATCATAGTAGTTATAGCAGCTAATCTAGTGATAAACAATTAATACAGGAATATTCATCTGCTAACTCAGCATTGAATATAATGGAACGTCTTTTTCTTGTTGAGCCCTAAAGGGTCCCTGTAGCTATCTCTCCGATATTGCTCCATACTTTAATTCACAGCAGTTGCGGGAGTTCTGTTTGACGTACCAGGGACCAGAACCTGGCTTCCCTCGCAGAGGTGTAGAGAGCAAATAACATTCTGCCATTTCACTGGGAAAGCATCCAGAAAGTCAGTGAAGCTTTGCAGATAACTGCAAGATTTTCAAGACTCGAAACCTCGAAACTGCTAAACTCCCAAAATGATTCTACCAAAACAAAATAATCCACTCTAAACCAGCTTGAATCAATTAAAAGTGATTTCTGCCACCAGGCAGTCTGGAGCTCAGTTCTCTGCCAGCTTGCTATGCATTTCTGGAGAAAATAAAAAAACATCCCAATGTACCAAGAAACCCAGAAGGGAGAGAGGGAGATAGGGAGCCACTGGAATTCAACCAGAAAGAGGTTTTTCATTACATTCAATGCTAGGTTTCTGGGGGAGCCCCTTGGTGGCTCCCTGTAGCTAAATAACCACTGAAAATAATTATGGAGCTTACCAGAAAGGAGAAGCAGCAGGCATTAATGCAGGGAAACCATTGGCCAGGAAACATGTCCCACAGCAACACCAGACTGACAATGACCAGTGACATTGAGTAAATACTGTACTCCAATTACCGCACCTCCAATTAAGAAAACAATGAAAGAAAAAATCACACTACATGAACCTAAACCAAAGAAACATGACACAGACAGACAGAAATAAATGAAGCAAGTATGAAGCCACGTCACATTGTCACCTAGAAGACAAATGCAGGAGGGGCACCAATAACTGCCAATTGTGTGCCATAAAAACAGCAAAATTCTGGCTGTTTTGACCAACAAACACCAAACACTCGACCAACTGCTAAGTCACCTAGGGATAGTCCAAAACCAGATGGTAATGGAGTTGTAAGTGAAGCAAGATGAAAGGAGGCAGGGAAAGAGACATCGACAGAGTCTCAGCTATGACCCAACAAAATCTGAACTTGCGATAGAACTAACCGAGACTTCTGGTAATTCACCAGGAACCTAAACCCGGCAAGCTGGGGAAAGAGCCAGATCCCTGTCTAGCCGACACACATACAGACTAGGCGCACAAACCAGCCAGTCATCGACGATGGCTAAAACATGAACCCCTAAAAGCCTTAACTGTGCCACAATGACTGATGCTAACCTGGTGAAAATACAGGGAGCCAGATTTAAGTCAAAAGGCAGAATCTGAAAACAGTAAGCTCTATGTCCAACCACAAACCCTAACCAGTCCCTGAAATCTGGATGTATGATTACATGCCATTATGCACTTTTGAAGTCCAGGAACACCATCCAAACCCTTAACTGGAAATCCAAACAAATTTGGTCATACAGAAAGTTGGACAGGGAATGAAGCTGTTCAAACCTGATAGATCGAGGATGAACCAAAGTTCCACCAAGCTCCTCTTTAGGACTGGGAAAAATTGGAACACCCAATGAAGGGACAAGGTCGATTTGACAACTCCCAAGTCCAACCACATCCCAATGACCCAATTATTCAAACCCACTAATGATGCACTAAGCAAAATTAATGACAACTGAATAGCGAGCTGGCGGAGGACTGATCTCTGGGCTGCTTGGTGGCAGTGATTGGTATTAACGAGTTTGAACTAATTTCGAGTGAATTATTTTGTTTTGGTTGAATCATTTGAAGAATGGTTCGCAGGTTTTGAGACTTCAAGTCTCGTGAACCCAGTAGTTGTCTGTAAACCTTCGCTGTCTGGATGCTTTCCTGGTGAAATGGCAGAATGTCATATGCTCTCTATGCCTCTGAGGAGAGGCCAGGGTCTGGGTCTAGTCCCCAGTAAACCAAACAGAACTCCAGTAACTGATGTGACTTGTATGGAGCAATATCAACACCCCAATCAGCAAGATTGCTACACGAGGCCACAAAGGAGTTACCCCCTAAAAATACAACTTACATTTTCTTTCCAAAGGTGTTAGAGAAGAGCACTGAAGATGTAGTAACCTCTGAATGCGAGGATCCTCCATGCCCACCTGCATCACTCATGCCATGATCTCCACAAACAACCACCAAGTACCTCTTGCCCTGAGGAACACATTTCACTACAATGACAAAGAAATCACTCACATTGCATGCATGCACATTTTCATTTATATATATAAGTGTGTGTGTATGTAAGAGAAAGAGATGGGAATGAAGTGAAATTGTGTATTAATCAATGGAATAATGACCCACTACAGGTACTGTATTTTGAAAACAAGAAACGCACACCGAATATTACAGACCCAAACCAGGACCCTCTTCAGCAGTGAGCAAAAATGACTGTTCAAGAATGGAGGAATTAGGTGATCTATGCCACATAAAGTGCCAACCCCAATAGACATTGATAACAACATTTCATTCACTTGGGCCCCTAGAAGCCTCAAACCTCCGACCTACAGAGATCATAGCTCCTCAATCCCGCTATGAACAGCCACAGTAAAGAAGAATTCCAGAAGCAACTAACTGCTGCCCAACTGGAACTTTAAGCTTTGCCTGGGTTGTCATTCAAGCATGTATAAATTAGGGTATCCACACCCCAATCATATAAATTGTCAACAACAATAAATGGGGGGTAACAACGTCATTCACTTGGGCCCTTAGGAGCCTCGAACCTCCAACCACCACAACGGGAGACTGTAGCCATCAAAGGCTACCCCCCAGAAATAGCCACTGTAAATCAAATATTAAACTATATTTTAAATGAGGATTCCAAATATTTTATCTGAAAGTGTGGAAAGAAAATTAATCTTAAATATTCCCATTTTATAAATACTGTACTATTTTTGTTAACAATAATAGTATATTTACCTTCTTTTCGAGTCCAAGGTGGATATTCTTTATCACAGAGTCCATTTCCAAAAGTTTAGGGCCGATCAGTGGACTCATGGGTCCTTCAAGGTGGCCAATGTGATCTAAACCTAAATAGTGAAGAATTAGAACATCCCAATCATCGGAGGCCATTGTCTTGGAGATGTGGCGAGTCACGTTCCTGTCTACCTACCAAGAGAGATTATGCCTTAATATAAGTACAATAGAAGTACAGTATATACTTGTGAATGTAACCTACATTAATGTTTTTAAAAAGGAAAAACGAAAAAAGAAAAAAGAAATATGACTGGCAAAATACAAGCTGATGTGAAGGCCACATTTTCAAGAAAAATACTAACAGTACTAGAGTACTGTTAGTATTTTATAAAATTTAAAAGGTTATAAGAGGTTATGAAGGTTAAAAGGTTATCTATACAAAAAAAAATTAAAAATATACAGCAGAAGAAAAGACTGAAATATACAACACACAAAAATACACAGCTGACCCCAGGAGGAGAAGATTGCTGAACTACACACAAATCAACTTTTATTCTAACAAAAGTGTACTGTATATACTTGCACAGAAATTAAAGAGCAAAACCTAAAACTACTATTACTACTATAAAAAATTACTAAAGAAGGAAAATCTATTGGAGAAATACTAACTAATAAAAACCTAAAACACTTTCATATACTGTATAAAACAAAATAAAACTTAATATAAATTAGCTCATACAGTACTTATTGTTTTTATAATTTGTACCAGAGTTATAGCCATATTATGCCAATGCTCAATATGCCTTCAAGTTGATACAATCTATTATTTCTTTAGCTGGAAAAAAGGAGCATCACTTGCCCCATGAAAAATATTCCTTCACTGCTGAAAGCAAGTTTAACAAAATGGCCAGAAAAATTCACCGTTGCATGTAATGAAATGCCTCTTTCTGGTGGCTCTCTTGGTGGCTTCCCTGACTACCCACCTGATAACTTCCAACCTTGGAGACCTCACCAGGCTCTTATGAGCAACTATTGCACATCACGACCAGAATCTGGCCCCCCTCAACGGATGCCTAAGAATGTCTGGGGATACAAGATCACCACAATACCAAAACAAACCAGCAGTGAACATAATGAAACCGTAATTTCTGGGTGAACCGCAATGGTTCCCTGAACCTATACATTGAGATGGTTTCCAATCTACCAGATCAAATCAGCGGTGGAGTTCTTCGGCCTCCCAGGGACCAAAGCCAGAATCTGACCTGACCCCTGACCCCCCCTCACAGAGGTGCAAGGACCGGTGATATTTCACCACCACACTGGGAAAGGCTTCCAGAAAGTCAGCAAATCAAAAACAACTGCTGGGTTCAAAATAGACCGAAGTCTCACAACCCAACTAATGAACTTCCTCCAACTATAATAATAATAATAATAATAATAATAATAATGTGATGTATAAATGAGCAAATCAATAGAAGCCATGATGAGGATTTGCATCTGCACACTTGGTACTACCAAGTATATGCCCTAACCAAAAAACTATAAATAGTTTTTAAAGTATCATATGACAGTATTGGGAAAACTTGTGCCAAGTCACCTTGAGCATAGCTCTCATCCTGAAACAGCACTTAGGTGTTTTTATGTGGAACAGGATTAGGCACAATTGTAGTTAGACAACACACGGCCATCTACTGAACTCCTCAACAGTCCTCACAGTTGAGCACAAGCCATGCTACCTGGAAGTGAGATAGCTCTAGAGAAGTCAGCTCATACAGGAAGGGAATTATCAAGGGAAAGTGCCAAGTCATTATGACTATACAGCAATTGGAAGGGGTCAGGATAAGGATTGGGGATGGGACGAGGAGGGAGAAGGGAAAAGGAATGGCACCCAACCACTTGGACGGTTGATTGAAAGCGGACCTGCTTGAAGCTAGACCGTCGCTCTACCATCCAACCCAAAGAGAGGAAGAGAGGTAGAGAGCGAGGGAGAGAGAGGTAGAGAGTTAGGGAGAGAGGTAGAGAACGAGGGTCTTCAAAGCAGGTATTCCCGGCAGGCCAGAGAAAATGCAACCAGACTATCAAGAGAGAAAACAAACTGGCTTTCAGTTGGAGCAAGAGAGAGAGAGAGAAAAGAGAGAGAAAAGAGAGAAAAACACTGGCTTTCAGTTGGAGCAAATTAAAATGCTATTGAACATTCATTGTGGGTAGCATGAAACAATCATGAAGAGTAAAACAATAACAAAGCAATGTCCCAGGGAGAAACTAGTGTTCTATGGCTAGCCAAGACTACTTTAAGAATGAAGCAGAGACAGGGCCTACATTGGATGTCCCGTGCCATTGAGGATGCAACCAGATGAATAAGTTATGGGAAAGGGCTGCCTGGGGGACACCTTGATGACCTGAGCTGCTACCTGGTGGCAGTCAGCTGCATCGTGACTTATTATCCGAGGGTATTTAATTCTCTTCAAGAGGTAGCTGGCTTTGTTTCACATATGCTTTCTGGTAGTGTTTTTTTTTTTATCTCTGATACAAAGGTGCTTCTTGCTTCAGAGATGGCCAGATCTGGTCCTGGTTACCATAAGGAAAGTGAGTCTAAGAGGCCTGGCAGGTCTCCCTTAGGCTTGGCTGCACCAGGGCTTAATTCAGGAAGCCACTGCAGAAGCCCATCCAGAAAAATAATGATACGCATCTTACCTCCGTGTAATCAGTGACAAAGAACGAGGTAACAGCATCATGTTTGGAAAACTGTGAAGGAAACAGCTTAAGCCAAGTGTCATCTCCATAGAAGTAAATACGCTTCCCTGCATCTACCCACCGTCTGATGAGGTTATCATCGGTCAGCTCACCAGCACCAAAGTTCTCAATAATGTCCATGAACCCCGGAATGCTGCCTGTCACCAAAGACTAACAAAAACCAAAGTTAAAAACCATAGTTCATTATATATATAACTAAAATTAATTAATTATAACACAAATATCTTATATTAGGTATAATAATTATTAATTTATTTTCATTTTCAAATAAATACAAATACTGTACAGTATTTTGAAAAGTTTTTAAATTTTTAGGATAGTGGAAGCAAGGTTTTCTGTGAGAAGTCACTTGTGGCTCTATGAAGCTATGCATTGGGATGGTACCCATCTACCAGGTCGCATCAACCATTGAGTTCTTTAGGCCTTCTGGAGGCCACAGCCAGAACCTGGCCACTACACAGAGGGGTGAGTGTGATGACATTTTTCCACCTTACCGGGAAAGGCAATCAGAAAGTCAGCAAGTTAAAACAAACCACTGTTGGGTTTAAGAGACTGAAGCTTCAAAAGCCCGCCCAATGACCTTCCCTAACGATGTAAGCAAATGATCGAATTTATTGAAACTAAGCTCGTTGGCCCCACCTTTCCCATTCATTTGGGGGGGAGGAGGTAGGAGCTCACCACCCAATGGGTCTATGCTGTCAGTTCCTTTACTGATTCAGTGGTTCCTGGGTTACCTCTCTTCCATATGGGCTCCTCTGGGCAGCTAAGTGGTTTGGTGCCATTTCCTGTGAATTGCTGTGTAGCAGGAGCCTGAACTTTGCCTATGTCATTTTTCCTCGGAAAAGGTGTGGCTTCGGCAGCTGTTCTGGTTTCTCTGGTTCAGTCCCTTTCGTCACTTCCATGATCATTGGGTGCAAGCCCCATAGGCCCTTCACTGGTTGCGGCATTATTATTGGTTTTCTTTTTGGGTTTTGGGGGGTTCAGGTCCCTGGTGCCTTCCTAAACCCATACTCAAAGTCTTCACAGAAACTTGGATCTGAGATGGGGCTTTGTAACGAGCGCTGACCAAGCTGTGCAGGGTCAGTGATCTCCTCTCCTACTTCGAGCTCACAGTATGGTTCGGGAGTTATAGCTGTGTAGCATGCACTGAGGAGGGTTTGGATTCCTTTGGGCTCCATACTCCGGCTCTATTCAGACTGTTCTCTGTGTAGTTCATTGTCTCAACCAGGAGGGTTCCCTTTAGTCCCTTGTCCTTTGGAACTGAATGCTTTGAGTAACTCTTCAGCCGAGTACTCACAGTTTGGCTCTCTGTGCTTTTCATATCCAGTGATTGTTCAGCATTTTCATGGACAACCTGTTTCATGGTGTGGAACATCTATGCTGCTTCCTTACTTCAGCTTTGAGACATACAGGCAGCCAGAGCTAGAACTCTTTGCGTGGAATTGACACCTTTGTACAGGACTTCATTCCCCAATGGCAATTCCCTTTATGGTGGATGCCTTTCAGCTGGACTGGTTGAGGTGTTGGTTCCTGTACCCCTTTTCGCCTGGTTCAGCTAAGGACTATTCTACAATTATTCTGCAACCTGTTCTGCAAATGAGTCTGTTCTGCAGCACTTCAATGTTGTGGTGCTTTAAACTTTGTGTGTAACATGAGCTGTGAAATATAGGATGCTATTTTCATCTTACCCAGGTTGGCATCCTGGCTAGGTTTGGTTTGGTTTCCATGTGGGTATATGAAGTCTTAAGGTCTTCTGTCTTCTGGTTACAGTATTGCTAGTGCATATATATGTGATGATTAGGAATATACTAGTACGGTTAATGGAGCAACCACTGAGGTATATAAAAAACGATTTGAAAACCGAGTACACATATTTTGCAATAGTGAAGTTTTGGGGGACTAGCACATTTTAGGTAGAGCTGTAATTGTGGCAAAATGAGCAATATTTGATCTAATAATATTATTTGTTGAAGTATATACTCACCTGGTGTTTGCATCAGAATTTGAAAAGGTTCAGGAGTCGTGGCCTTTTCCCATTGACTGGAGATTGATTATTTGTGTATGTTATTGTTATTTCTGTTATTCCCATTACGTTATTTCCTGGAGAGGGAGGTATCCTAGGTGCTCGAGACTGTGGGGGCTGTCTTTCAGCTATTGTGCTAGGTTTTTCCGTGGCATGGTTCAGTTCCCACTTCGGTACCTGGGGCATCAGGGTCCCAGGTCATGCAGGACTCTTGGTCAAGGTGAAGATTCAGTAGTAACAATATCTGGCAATGTGATGTTTGCTTCAACATCAGCTTCTTCCCATTGGTGTAGGTTTTATTCATTCTCCTCAGGGAGAGATACATTGTGGTTCAAAATGATGGGATGGTGAGGGAACAGTTGTGCTACTTTTTACCAGGCTTTGACTCAAGTTGCCTGGGCCTACCATCTGGTGTTTCAGGGCCTTTAGTGGGGGTAAACTTCACCCCTCCTCCTTCCTCTGTTGATATGGGTCCAGCCTTAGCCATCTACTCCACAAGATGACAGCAAGTGTTGAAAGTGGAGTAGTTGAGATGCCTCCCTTGCATTTGATATTTCCAGTCTCAAAATGGTATTCTACAGGGCTTCAGTTCATTCTCTATGAACAATCCCACACTCACGGCAAGAAGTGTATGACACTTGGAATAGTTAAGAATGCTTAAAGGAGACCAAACTTGGTATCCTGTTAGTAAAAAAAAATTTGAATGCTCAACAGATTTAACACATCCTACATATGAAAGCCATTAACAGTCACTGTTTATCAAATAATTTCCACAAAAAAAAAAACACTGTAAAAAATCCTTACCTTAATTCTGGGAAGAGTGACAGTGGGAGTAGCGGTATGAAGGATATACCCATGTGCCTCTTCCTTGGCGAGCAAGCCATGCAAGTGAGGCATTAGAGGCTGCGGTGTGGATACAAGGTGATCAGCTCTCAAGGCATCAATAATAACAATCACAGTCTTGTTCACCGATACTGGGGACTCATCATCATGTCTGTTGGAGACAAGATGATGTTTTACCTTAAAACGTTTCACAAATTTATTAAAAAAAGCAACAGGCAAAGATGCAATAATAAGAAGGACTGTGCAACATTTCAATATGCATAATCTAGAGGCATATCTATACCAACACAGCATTTTGATCAGTACTGCCTTATTGATCGATATCAATATAGATATGGTAAAAATAAATCCATGAATATAATAAAATTATCTTTTTTGTTGGCTCTCAGTAGCACCCCAAGCTAACTGCTCATCCAGACTACCCTTAGGGAGATGTACTAAGCCTTATTAGTCTACACTTGCCTACTGGGAACCAGGATTAGAGTCTGTCTTTGAGATTCTGTGATATTGTGGATGAGATTTGCTCACAGCCAAGAAAAAAGCACTATAAAGCATAACAAAACTAAACAAGCAAATTGTTACAGAATATTAAGTACCAAGGGGCAACAAGCCAAACTGCTGCTGCAGCGGGATAAACACACTGGGTCATGCTGTACCCAACAGTCACCTTGTTATAGCCAGTCACCTAGACTGACCTCTCACTCATGAGCCACCCAAACCAAACCAATAAGGCAGATATGGGGGGAACTAATGAGAGCCTCACTAGAAAATGGCCTTGCTTTAGATTTAACATGTTTTATTGGAGGGTTAACTTAATTGTTCACTGAGCTAACTCACATAGGCACCTCTACAGATGAGGTCAACATTTTTTTTTAAACAAAGCAGAAAATGCAGCTGTGGGAGAAGAAAGCATGTGTGGCCCAGGAGCAGAGGGACACCAGAGGCAAGCCAAAAGCCAAAGCACAACACAAGTGGAAGTCCAAGAGACAATCTAAGCAGAGCCAAAAGCTTTCACTCGAGTGTACCACCCGTAACAAGTCTCAAGCAAAAAAACAACCAAGCAGCAATGAGACTTAATGCAAAGGAGTATGGATATACCACCAGCTGGCCCAAACGTAAGTCCAGAGGGATACCAGCAAACCAATGGAACCAGGTGCTGGAATCAAACCCAGAGCTCGGAAAACTGGTGACCAGATGCAAGAACCAGAAAACCCTAACTGGAAACAACCAACAGTGGACTGCAGCCACACCCAAAGAGAACAGCACACCTGCCACAAAGACAAAAACTGTCCTAAAACTGGCTGGAAATGGCCTGGCACACAGTCAGAATACGGCCTAGAAACTGCCCCAAAAATAAGCATTAAATGTAATGAAATGCCTGTTTCAAGTTGGGCCTCAGTGGCTTCCTAAAGCTAGATCGGTGAGGTAGCTCCACACAAATGAATCAGTCATAGGAGTTTTGAATGGCCTACTGAGGAGCACAGCCAGACTCTAGCCCCCCTCACAAAAGCACAGGAAGGGAGAATTATAACAGGAATTGTTATGATCACCTGTACCAAAGGCCTGGTATCCAGAAAGTAAACAATACAAAGCACACAGCAGCAAGGTTTACAGATTTAAGAACTGAAGTAACAAGAAACTTACACACACAATTCCTTCAGTAGTAAAAATGAACACCCCCTAATTAAGTATGTCTACCAACAGGTAATAGCACCACTTTAAGTTCCCGACTCTCACATAATCCGCCCCTTGGTCCGAAGCTGAAAAATGACAAACTGATGCACCTGTATGGGAAGTAAGTAAGTACAGTAATTATCAAAGAAGGCACCAAGCACCTGTATGGGAAGAGTGGGGTGAGGACCAGGGAACCACTAAGACAACCAACCAGAAAAATGTATTTCATTACATTCAATGCTGGTTTACTGGAGGGGTCAAATAGTGGCTCCCTGAAGAAGGAAGATGCATAACCTACCAGGGAGGAGTGCAAAACACCACCCTCAAAGTCAAGAACTTGGTTTGGGAGCTTGACCAGCTCTGTCGCCTCTTCCTGTCTCTCCCACTATTCCCCCTTTCATACCCTTTCCCCTTCCCCCTCCTATTTCCCCATTCCTCTCTACTCCTTACCCTCTTCCTCTCCTCCCCCCCCCCTAAACTCCATTGGGGGATGGGGGGAAGAGATGGAAAGAGTCCCTCCCATTCTATCTTCCTCCTTCCCAGTCTTTCCCTCCCTCCCCTCAAATTCTCTTCTTCCCTCCCTCCCTCTCTCGAATTCTCCCCCCTCCCTCCCATTATCTCTCCCTCCTTCCTGTTCTCTCCCCCTCCTATTGAAGACAAACTATGGACAATCGAACCATTTCAGACTTCAAAGAAGTTGTTGATTATTGTAATAGGAGCCAATCCTTCTGAAGGAGGGGCATAGGGCTTGACCCCGAGCCTCCTCTAACACTTCCCATATAAACACAATTCACAACTAAAAGTTGTGCGAGGCTAACTGGAACAGTCTTACTTTTAACCTTGGACAAACAAACTGACATTATCTTTTATTGATAACGTGTTGATATTTTGCTTTCCAGTCACAGTACATATAACAAATAAGATTACCTTGTTGCAGCCTTGGTAGCCTGCAGTAGATCCTCAGGAGGCAATGGGTGTGGTCGCACGGTGACAATGCCTGTCAGATATGCTACTATTGCTGCAACAACAGCAACCTGTTCTATCAGCAGGTGCGATAGGCTACTTAATCTCATCATCTTGAAAATTTAACTGTAAAGAAATTTAGAAAATATTGTCACTAACACAAACCAGACCAACAACAAAAACTGGCAATGGTTAGTATAAATGAAGGACTCCTTTCTGAGCTGGTCGCTGTCACTCGTTTAGGCAACATCCCACTGCCTCAGGGACATTGTAAACAATCCTGACACAGCAGGAGTCTCTTCTAAATACCAGTGCCAGGCTATACATGGAAGAAAGGAAACATTGGCAAATTCTTAAACCAGCCCTGAATGATTGTCAAAGTAATAATGCTCTACACACAAAATCTCCTCATGCATTACATAAAGAAAATAAACTGCAAAGTAGTGCTCTGCTAATTCAAACTATAAGTTGACAAACTGGTCACCACTACCACCAGTTACCAGGTGGCAAATACTGAGTTATAAACAGAATTAGCCACTAATCCACCCTCACTTTTAACCCAAAGCACCCCAGAAATGAACAATCTAGCATTGAATGTAATGAAATGCTCTTTTTGCCAAGTCTCCTTATTGCCTCCTGAACTACCAGCCTGGTTAACTCAAAGCCTAATAAACCCATAAGGCCATTATGAGTCAGGAATGCCTTCCAGAACCCCAAGAAATGCAACAGCATGGAGAAGCATTGGCAACCCTGACAAACTACAGTATATACAAACTTGCTAGCTAGTCCCAATTTCTAGTTTGTTTTACTTCCCTATCATCAGATGAATCCCCCAGAAACCCAGGTATCCGGTCAGCTGATCACTGCAGACATACGCTGCTCAAAGACAATCCTTGAAATTTTGGATGGAAGGACAAACTAGAAACCATTGAGGATGGAGGGAGCGGGATGGAACCAAAAAATGGTGTTTCTTTACATTTAATGATGTATTTCTGAATGGGCTTCCCTCGGTGACTCAATATCATCACAGAGCACAAAGAAAAACTAGCCTTAATATCCCATCTCACAGGATGGGATATTATGTAATACATGGAATCAAGAGAGAATGAGAAATATGAGGCTGATCTATTAGCTTGCACTAGCAAACTCTGGGTAGAACACAAGAATATCTTCCAAAATTCGTGAGTGTATGAGGTAGTTACAGAGCTCAAAGTACCTCATACCATTTGGTCTGATGAAATCATTGATTACAGGACAATCACAAATATAGTGTTGGAGAGTATGTCCTAGCTCTTGTTCCTACAGTTTGCAATTGGAATGTTCATCATTGAGAGAGTCATTACCTGCAGCCACCTGCCATAACTATATCCCAGCCTAATTCTGAAAATTACAATGTCACACTAGTGGATGTTTTAGGCTGTCTATACATATAGTTCTCAGTTCTAAACATGCTGTACCATAATACATTACACTTGGGTTTTTTAGCCTTTGAATGTCAGTGACCATTCTACCATCTCTAATTTCCACAAATACTGCTACTTTTATGATAGCTTGGAATGTCCAGATGTAACTCAATTTCATGCTTATCACATGCAATTTTAGCTGCCTTGTCCATGTCATCATGCTCGATAACACGTATGTGAGGCGGTATCCATACAAATTTTATGGTCCTGGTAGTAGTCTGGTTCATTCTCGACTCGCAATCAGGAATTCCAGGTTTCCAGGCGGGACAGAAATGGTTGGACACATTTCCTTTCACCTAATGCACCTGTTTACCTAGCAGTAAGTAGGTACTCTTTTTTTTTTTTTTTTTTTTTTTGAGATATATACAAGAGTTGTTACATTCTTGTACAGCCACTAGTATGCGTAGCGTTTCGGGCAGGTCCCTGGAATACGATCCCCGCCACGAAGAATCATTGTTACAACCAAGTACACATTTTACTGTTGCGTTAAACAGAGGCTACAGTTAAGAATTTGCGCCCAGTAAATCCTCCCCAGCCAGGATATGAATCCATGATAAAACGCTCGCGGAACACCAGGCGAGTGTCTTACCACTACACCACGAAGACTGTAAGTTAGTCAGAGTTAGTCAGCTTGTGGGGTTGCATTCTAGGTGTGTTTAGTAATTCAACTTTGGGGGGGAACCTCAATAAAACCTAATGTTTATGAATACACTATTATAAATGATATTCAAATTCTTGCTCTTTGCATTAATGATGTTTATAAAATTCCGGTAAATGGAATAATGGATGTTGCAACATTACTAGTAACTATTTTGCATGCTGCGTTTGTTGTAAAACATGTTGCATGTTGGGTTTTTAAATGTGTAATATATGTCATAATATACTTGCTATAAGTGCTTGAAGAGCTGACTTTTGTTAAATACCCCTCTGGTTGTGTCGCAATACTGGGCCCCTCCCGGCTGCTACACCAACTTTCTTGACGACAAACCCCGTGTTCTTGACGACTGACTTCCAGCTGTATCTTCACCAGCTGTGGCGTGGCGTGTATCTCTTGTGGTCAAAGGTGGTGGTAGCAGTGCCCCCTCGGGTGAACTAGACAACACTCGGGCTGACAGCAGAGAAGGTTGTTGTGGGCGGCCTCTGGTGGTCGCTTGTCTTCCTGTCGCCATTCACGCTTTCTTTCCGCCCGCGTTGAGGGCTAACTTTATTATTTACATTAAAGTAGTTATTGAAATATGCATTACACCTGAATTTGTATATTTTTAAAATCTTGTATAAATCAGAATGGATTACTAAAACTGGAAATAAACTTATAATGTAACAAATTTTCAATTTGTACCAAGAGAGAAAACGATACTTTCGGCAACCCAAACTTCGATTTTTTGGGGGTATTAACTTAACAAGCTTAGGTATACACAGCAATGTGCTGTTACCTTATTCTATAAGAAAGATTACACAGTGTAGATAAACAACTGGCTATAAGTTCATCTAATATTTTCATCTCACAGGATGGTTAGTCATACATGGAATCGGAGGTGCAAATACCAGCCTCAATACAAAAACAATCAACTCTGACTAAAAATCAAGAGAGAAAATGAAATGTAAGGCATGGAAAGAAAAATAAATAAATGTCATTGTCACAGTGTGACAATGTCACACTGCCTAGTGGATGTTTTAAATTATTTTGCTATCTTCACTAGCAAAATCTGGATACAGCACAAGAACATCTTCCAATATTCCTAAGTGTATGAAGTAATTGCAGAGCTCAAAGTACCTCATACCATTTAGTCTGAAGTCACTTATAACAGGGCAATCACAGATATAGTGTTGGAGAGTATGGCCCAGCTCTTGTTCACAGTTTACAATTGGAATGTTTACCATTGGGGGATTCATTACCTGCAGCCACCTGCCATAGATATTGATATCCCAACCTAATTCTGGCAGTTACAATGTCACACTGTCTAGTGGATGTTTTATACTGCCCGTACATATAATTCTCGGTTTGAAACATGTCATAGCTCTTTATATTCGTGCTTTCTGGCCTTTGTGTCAGTAACTACTCTTCTGTCTTCCCTAATTTCCTGAAATATTGTGGCTTTTACAACAGAGAGGACCTTTGATTGCTCCAGGCCTGATCAGGCCTGGAGGGCCTGAAGAAGGCTTGATGAGCTGACTTTGAATCACAACGCGCAACTTTGAATCACCGAACCCTACACGGCTCTCTGACTCTATACTCATCCTGTGAGTTTTAATAAACTTAAGACTTACAGGATGAGTATGGAGTCTGAGCGCATGTAGGGCTCGGTGTTCTGAGCGAAAAGACACGGGTATTTTCTAATGCTCTTTTAGCCAGCTTTATTTCCGTAGCTTAAGTCTATGACGTTTTGTTCTTGAAGTTCCAGCTAGTCGCTGATCTGTCACCACCAGATTTGCCAGTATAACTGTACCAAGTATAAGCCTTTCCACTACCGCCCACAGGATGGGTATGGGGTGCATAAATGAACTAACCAACCTTCTCAAATGATAAGTGACAACCAGACAATTGAGGTAAATGCCTCAAGAGTGAGGTGGACATCTTCACTTGCAAACCAAAACACCACCTGATCGGTCGGTTAAAGTTGGATTAATGATCTGGCCAATCAGGATTTATTTAATTTATTTATTTATTTATTTATATACAAGAAGGTACATTGGGGGTTAAGAGAGAACATAGAAATAAAGGTGATTTTACATTCTTGTAAAACCACTAGCACGCATAGCGTTTCGGGCAAGCCCTTAAACCAACAAATAACTCTGGCCACTTACTAATTCTCAATGATTCAGACATACTCAGAATGTAGGAATTTCCACGACCCACCGGTTGGAAACCAGTTCCTAATATACATAAGTGATTCCTGGTGGAATGACACTTCTTAACTTCCGAGGCTGAGCTTATAGTGGCTACACATTTTTTGTATTGGTTATATATAATAGATTAGCAGCATACTGCAGTGCAACTAAATCCTGTAATTAAATAAATGGATGCTACCCATCTGTGTGTGTGGCGGTGACGATGACGTATGTACTTTACCTGAATAAACATTTATTTATTTATTTATTTATTTTTTATATGGGCACGCCCCGTGCCACGGGGTCAAGCCGTCAAGAGGCCGGCGAGCGGGAAGATGGCGTCCTCTGACAAGTCTCAACCTGTCCATTCTCCGTCCAAAATGAGCTTGGAAAGTGTGGGAAACATGGATATGACGAAGGCTGGGCGGGGTATCTGGCTGGTAAAGGTAAGCTCAATCTAGTAGATAATATACGCTCTGAAATAAGGTATTTAAGTGGCCTCAACAGGGACAGTAAGTCGATGGCTTGGCAAAGTTACCCAAGGCGCTTCCATGGGTATATAACCATATGGTGAGGAAAACGTCTCCCGTTTTCTGTCTTGTTGAACTTGAAGCTGATGTTCCTTGAATGCTCTACATAAATGATGTTTTGTCTTCAAAAGGTCAGATTTGACTGACAAGGAGCACCGGCTTTCAAGATCAACAAGCCACAATGCACGACTGAAATCAGGAGTTGCTTTTTCACCCACAGGGTTATAAACCCATGAAACCGCCTACCCGCCGACGTAGTGAGTGCCAAATTTTAAATCTTAAAATCCAGCTGGAAAAAAATCATCAGGGGAAATGGGGGGAGCTTTGACAAACTGCCAGCTTCCTGTCGTCCTCGAGGCCACTGGTGTGTTAGTGGCCCTCACGTAAATTTGCTTTTAAAGAAGTGGTCTGGATTATCCTCCTCCAAATTATTATTATTAAAGTATTCAGTATTTAAGAGTCTATGAGATAAGCGCTGTCATGTCATAAATCTACAATAACCAGCATAGTATCACTACTGCATGTATTACACAGCAAACCTTGCAAAAAAAACCTCCATAATGACACTTGCTTATCAGTTTTCAGCCAAAATATCAGATCACTTGATAAACTAAACTGATAAACAGTTTGGCTTCCGGTCCCAAAAGAGTACCAATGATGCAATCATTAGTCTCCTTGACATTATCTACTCAGCCCTTGACAAAAATGAGTTTCCGATTGGACTCTTCATTGACCTAAGAAAAGCCTTTGATACTGTTAATCACAACTACCTCTTACTTAAACTCCAGCATTATGGAATCCGAGGCCTTGCCCTTGACTACATCCGATCCTATCTTAGTGACAGACACCAATATGTAACCATCAATGATACAACTTCTTCCACTCTACCAATTACCGTTGGAGTGCCACAGGGCAGCATCTTAGGACCTCTTTTATTTCTTATATATATAAACGATCTGCCTAATGTCTCTAATATTCTCAAACCTATATTGTTTGCTGACGATACTACCCTTATCTACTCGAACCTCAACCCACATACACTAAATAATGTTGTGAATAATGAACTAAAAAAAGTCCACTTATGGATGTCAACGAACAAACTAACATTAAACATCGAAAAGACTTACTACATCTTATTTGGAAGCAAATCATCAAATGCAATTCAGCTACAGATAGACAACATTAACATCAGTAATAAAAATGATGGCAAGTTTCTTGGCCTATTCCTAGACAAGAGACTCAACTTCAGCACCCATATTCAACACATAACTAAGAAAGTCTCTAAGACAGTTGGTATACTCTCCAAAATCAGATATTATGTTCCTAACTCTGCTCTCCTCTCACTATATTATGCACTAATCTACCCCTATCTTAATTATGGTATCTGTGCATGGGGGTCTACCACTGCAAACCACCTTAAGCCCATCATCACACAGCAAAAATCTGCTATCAGAATAATAACTAACTCTGCTTTCAGACAACACTCAGCTCCCTTGTTTAAATCTCTAAACTTGCTAAATATTAACTCCCTCCACACATTCTCTTGTGTCAACTACATTTACAAAACCCTGTTCTTAAATGCAAACCATGCTCTGAAACTCTCCCTGGACAGATGTAATATACAATACAATACAATACAATACAATTTTATTTAGGTAAGGTACATACATACAATAAATATTTACAAGGATTGTTTGACTTATAGGTATAGCTAGTACATACAATGCCTAAAGCCACTATTACGCAAAGCGTTTCGGGCATGATAAACTTAAATGACAAGCTTAATACTAATTGAGCATAATGAGTAGAATGAAAACAAGAAATGAAAACATAGATGAAAAAGCAGCACAAATACAATTATGTCGACAAACAGCGCTCTTTAAAGAAAAAAACAGACATTGGTTGACAATAGAAGGGTAAGGTAGGTTACAGGGAATTTATTAGTAATAGGACCCATTATCACCACACCAGAAATAAATATCTCTTTGATATCCCCAGGGTCAAACTTAATCTGTGTAAACACTCTATGCAAATTAAGGGACCTAGTCTATGGAACTCACTCCCTATTGAATTGAAAAACTGTAAAACTTTTGCCTTATTTAAAAGCAAAACCAAAAAGTACCTAACTTCATCTATTTAGTTTCCTACACTGAGCTTTAAATTTGCTCTGTACCTAGTGTTACCCAATCTCCTAATTTTTATGTAATATCAAACAACCTTATCATTGTGTTCATTGCTGTCTTCTTTTATGTGCTAGCCATATGCTGTATTGTGACTACCAATTTTTGTCAACTACCATTCAAGCTGTCATTGCAATCAATCTTATATTGTTTCTGCTGTATTGTGCCTACCAATTTGTTGTCAACTACCATTTTAAGCTGTCATTGCAATCAATCATAGCTACCTATGTGCTTTAATATACTGTACCTATAATTTTCTCTCATCTTTTTTTTTTTTCATTCCATGTAATCTGTTATCATTTTTTTGTCTATAAATTTTGCAAGTATTTACCTCCTTAAAATTTTCTTAGATTAAGGACCTGCCCGAAATGCTGCGCGTGCTAGTGGCTTTACAAGACTGTAATTACCATAATTGTATCCTCACATTCCTTATGTACATTCTTGTATATGCATAAATAAATAAATAAATAAATAAACATTTTGATGACATAAATACACTACTCACAGCACTAGGTACTAAACTAGTGTTCATTATTTTAACAGAAACATGGCTAAGTAAAGACCATACCCAACTTTATAACTTCAAAATCAACATTTATATTTTTTTTTTATTGAGCCATCAAGCCATCTCCAACAACCTAGGATCTAAACAACAATGACATAACAAGCCGATAAAACTCTCCAAGGATGGTTACACACATCTGCAACAGATTTAGAAACAAAAACTGAATTTAATAGCTTCTTTTCTTTAACATGGCTAAGTGAAGACCATACCCAACTTTACAACTTAGCCTGTTATAAAGCCATTCACAGCTGTAGGTCAAATAAAAAAGTAGGTGGCACAGCTATCTGTTACCAAAATACCTTCATTTACAAGTGTCATTAGTGATAGTCAACTACTGTGAATATACTACCTTTGCTCAATTTGCAATTAAATCCCTTAAATCCTCCTTGACTTTTGCAACAATCTATAACTATCTATAGACTTTCCAATACTAATACAACTGCATTCTCAGATAACTTAAGGAATTTTATAAACAATAAGCTCAACTAAAATCACATCATTCTAGGTGACAATATTAACCTTTGTCAACAAAATGGCCCTCAAGTAGACTTATTTTCTGAACAACATGACCTCCTGTATGTTGATCCCCACGATCACCAAGCCCACGCAACTCACTCAAACATCCACTACTACCTTGAATCACTTATGAGCTAACATAACAGCTCCCCCCTACCCCCCTTGCATTTGGAATAATCACTAACAACTGACCACTATCTTACCTTCCTCATAGCAAACATGGACATAACACCACCAGATACCAAGAAACTTACCTTCAGGCTACACAGCGAAGTAGCAATAGGCAATCTCACAAATGCACTAAATAATATAAACTGGGAATCTGAACTCAATAATACATAGGATATAAATTCATTAGCCAACATCTTCCTTTCCAAAACTAAGCCTCTACAACACTCACTGTCCTCTTCTCACCAAGGAAGTAACTGCCAAAAGGTTAAACAACTGGCTCACAAGTAGCATACTCAAAGCAATCAACAAGAAACATGATTGGCCTAGTTACAAAAGTAGTAGTTAAAGAGATACTCATCAATGCTTACCAGTATAATAAGAAGAGTGAAACTTTTCAATTATGAGAGTAGATTCAAAGAACCAAAAGGAAACATGAAAAGCACATGGAAAGCCATCTCTAACAACCTAGGATCTAAACAACAATCACATAACAAACCGATAAAACTCTCCCAGGATGGTTACACACACCTGCAACAAATTTAGAAACAAAAACTGAATTTAATAGCTTCTTTTCAGTTGGTACTAACCTTGCCAGAAAAATCCCACAGACCCGCCTGTGGGATTTGTGGTAATGGGACACATTACCACATATCTTACCGGAAGCTATCCTAGCTCTCTTCTCTTACCAGTCAGACCGACATGTTATGTCCATCATTCACTCACCAAAAACCAAAGCTGAAAACATTAGTGAAATACCATTTATGCTAGTGTGCCTCCTATGCTCTTGCACCACCCATAGTTCTGCTATTCAACAAATCTCTAGTGTCATACTTTCCCTGATATCCTTAAAAAGGCATGAGTAATGACAGTTCATAAAGGAGGCAATACAGCAGACAAACAATTACAGATTAATATCAAATCTAACTATATTATAAAAAAAATATTTGAAGCTGATGATACTACCTTCATCTACTCAGACCTCAACCCCCACACACACAGTAAATAATGTTGTAAATAACGAATTAAAAAAAGTCCACTTTTGGATGTCGACCAACAAACTCTCACTAAACATAGAAAAGACCAAATCAATCAAAATGAAGCAAATCAACAAAATGCAATTCAGCTTCAGATAGACAATGTTAACATCAACAATAAAAATGATGGAAAGTTCCTTGGGCTATACTTAGACAAGTCATCTTAAGCACCCACATACAACAAAAATTCAAAATTCAAATTCAAATGTTTATTCAGGTAAAGTACATGCATACAAGGTGTGATATTGATAGATATCATTCATTGATAGATTTATAGTTAGAGCTAGTACATACAATGCCTAAAGCCACTGTTACGCAAAGAATTTTGGGCAGGAAAAACACTAAGACTAAAACTTAATACTAATTGAGATTAAAGTATAAATTGTGTTGAGAAAATATAAAAATAAAAAAATGTTGCCTCTTGTCATTCAGCATTGACAAAGCTGTTGTTGCTTGTGTTCAACATTTTTATACTTCCTGTACCATTCTGTGAGTTGTTTTGGGCGTTCTTTCACCTTCAGCTGGATCACACCCCTCCTGAACCATCTTGGTCTCTTAATGGGATTTTGGTCTTTCTTTCCTCTTAGTTCCTAGTTGTCTCTTCAGTCGGGGGTATTCTCTTAGAATGGCATTTTGTTGGCTCTTACCTCCAGCTGCATGGGTGGGGAGCTCTTCTCTTGAGGTGTGGGTTCTGTTCTTTCGTCCCTGGTGGGCGGTTTGTTCATCTGTGATCTTTTCTGGCGAAGAATGTGTCTGCTGGATTCTGGATGGGTTTTTGATGTTTGATGTTCACTTGGTTCAGCCAGGGGTTATATAATTGCTGTCTGGTAGTAGTGCTTCATTGCTACTTGCATGGCTCTGGTGGACACCTTGTTGGTTGACCCTGTTTCTTAGTCCTCTTTTTCCAATTCTCATCTTTCTCAGGTTGACTTCAGTGTCATCAAAGCTAGCCAGCCTGCAGTCTGCCCTTGAGCTCATGATGTTTATGAATACGCTGCATTGGCAGCAGTCTTCTCCATCATGTCATGGGCTGATATACAGGCTCAGAGGTTGTGGAATTCTAATACGGTCTTGGTGGTCTGGTGTTTGGTGGGTGTTCCTTGTCCCAGCCAGTCTTGTGTGGTGTTGGGTCTGGTTTCCCGGCACATGGCCTCTTCTTTGTTATAGTACCTGTTGTCTCTCACATTTTGATTTGAATAATCATATAATGTTCAAATTAGGAAATAAATTGTATTTATTGTATATTTAATATTGGAAATTCAGCCCTAAAGGTAAATTTATCAACATTCTAAAATCTGTTATGCAGGTTCCCAAGTATTTGGGTGATAAATGGAAAGAATGCGCAGATTCTGAAGTTGGAACGGCATATCTTACCAAGTAAGTCTGCATCAGTTTGTTTTACACTACATGTACAGTATAAAACTGCACAATAACACAATTTAAATAATTAGACTAATGTACATTACAGTTTTTGTTTGTCTAACTTGAACATTTCTGGGGGGTAACCCCTTGGTGGTTTCCTGAAACAAACTCACTGAGTTAGCTTCCCATACACAGTCACATCAGTCTTAGCAGTTCTGTTGACATACTGGGGACCAAGAGCCAGAACCTGGTCCCTTTACAGAGGAACAAAGAGCAGGGGGATTATTATGATCACCCTCACCAGAAAAACACCCTGAAACGCAGGCGAGACAATACATAGAACGGCATGGTTCGTGAAAATGAAGCACCAAAACAGCCAACAAACACTGCAAAAGAAGGCGATGAGTCACAATAACGTGGCTGAAGTATGTTGACCAGACCACACACTAGAAGTTGAAGGGACGACAACGTTTCGGTCCGTCCTGGACCATTCTCAAGTCGATTGTGTGAGAGAATCGACTTGAGAATGGTCCAGGACGGACCGAAACGTCGTCGTCCCTTCAACTTCTAGTGTGTGGTCTGGTCAACTGCAAAAGAATCTCTCAAAATGAAATGGTCATTTGAATCTGGGTATGAAACACCCCCTAGTATGTGCAAGCATAGAGCCACCAGCCAGTGGAGTCCTGGCAGGCAGCCAGTCATGTCTGTCACTGATGTGGCCACAGCCATCCTTCTGGACATTGTCATGTGGGGCCATTAGCGTGTGTATTATTCCTAATTTTTGTTTTTGATCATGAGCGCATGTTTTCAAGCCTCACCCTGGTTATCCATCCCGCCACCTCTGTTACATGGGTGCCTTTTAGTGATTTATGTGGGACTCCTGGGCTCCTGTGCTCCTGGGTCACCCTAAACATATTCAATGTTACAAATCCATAATGATTTCGTGAGGGCAAGTAGCACTCCAGGTTGCAATTCTTTTACCATATCGTGGCACAGTCAACTAAGGCGCATCTGGAATCATCACTGTTGTAGGTTCGAACCCTCATCACTGCCCTTGTGGATTTGTTCATTTGATATATCACGCTATTGTTGATTTCTGTGTGTATACTCAGTGTTAGTACCAGCAAGCCTCCAGTTTAAATTAAGCAAGTCCCAGCCCCCAGGGAATTTACTCCCATCAATTTACTTGTCATATAAGATTATCAACCTATCCCAAAACTAGTGCACAGGAAATTCATAGGAATATATATTATTTTATTCAGTCACAGACCTCAGCATAACAAAACTCCTTGCACTACCTAATCTACATTTATTTTATGCACTATTCCCCACATAGGCAGGAGCAAAACTTGGAAACAAAATACTATAGGTAGGCCTACAGTATCTGCAGGAGAGACACTTTGAGGTTATCTCTTAATCCCCAGTACACGTTAATCCTATCTGGCCTTAACCACATACAACCCATTAAAAATGTTAGGGCCAGAGTTGCACAATAATACATCAATAATAAAATTTGAATGGTGGCCAGCAAGTTAACTGAGAGTACAGGCACTTATAAGGAATTCCCTCACACCCTAGGCCACATCCAGTCTGGATCATTTACAAAACAGGAATCCCTCCTCTTTCCCAAGATGCCGTGAGCAACCCCAAATGTCACATTGTACTGTGCTCATTTTACAGAAAATTAAACAAACCACTAATCTTTTATATAATTACACAATCAGATATAACCTTCTAGCTGTCTTTTCTTAACCAAACTTCTTACAAACTTCTATAAGCTATAAGTTTACATCTTGATGTTAATCATCATGTTAATCCATCATACAGTTGGTGGCATTTTTAACCAACCACCCCTGTCTACCGCTGTACCGCACTTGTTTGCCAGAGACTGGTGTTTCACTATCACTTAGGCCCACCTGGGTTATAACAACCCTCTCCCTCCCAGTTTGCTTCAGGAAGGGTACCTATGTGTCAACCACCCCCAATAGGGTTGTTTGCAAAAAGGTTGTTAATCACTCACCCTGCCGCCTATGCTTACCCTCCACAACAAAACCCACACACACACACACACCCTTACAAATAAAATGTAACATGAAGAAAATGTGAGAACACCATTTCCCAGATATTAAGGGTCAAAGAAGAACTTGGATAAAAAAAATATATATTTCTAGCTGGAAAAAAGAGAAATGCTATCAGCCACTGATGCAGCTACTAAATTCAATATTTTCGTCTCATCTATTGGCACATCCCTTGCAAATGAGATCCCAGTAACCCCCCAAAAATGTAGGCAACTATCCTACTGGCAGCTATTCGAGTCTCTGTACCAGTTTCCAACTAACTCCTCAGATATTAATGATATAATACCTACATCTATTAAACTCTGAAATGCTAATCCTGCTTTAAGGAATTCCTAGAGGGCTGAAGCAGAACCCATGAGCACCACACAAGAAACAAATATCTTGCCGATATTCGTAGCGAGACTTGGCCCAAGTAGAAATGCTATGCAAATAAAGGGTTCCAAACTGAGGAATGATCTCCCAAATGTAATTAATAGTTGAACCTCACCCAACCAGTTTAAAAGAGACTAATAAATATCTATTTAATACCTTAACAAATTTAATTTTGTTTTATTACTAAAACTATATGCCTTTCATCATTAAGCATCATTTAATTAATGTATTTATTTTTGTCAAACTGCTTGTTCAAGTCATATCCCTGCAAACACACAATGTAACTGTTCCCATTTTGCGTTTGTTACAACTCGTAATAAAGTTGTTACATCTTGTAACACAATCGACTTGAGAATGGTCCTGGACGGACCGAAACGTTGTCGTCCCTTCACCTTCTAGTGTGTGGTCTGGTCAACATACTTTAGCCACGTTATTGTGACTCATCGCCTGCATACATCTTGTAATAACATTTTTATGACATTAAAATGTTGTTACAAATTGTTAGATGTTAAAACTGGTTTAAACATTGTAGCAACATCGTAGTTTCATCGTGTGTTTGGTAAGATATCTTGCCTTGTTTATTACCATGTCATTTACCTTATTAAATTATAATTTTACCGATTTATTTTATGTTAAATTCTAGTTGCTTTCCAAAATTCACCTTTCCATTTCCTTGCTATTAATATTATTATTATTTAATTAATGTACTTGTGTTTTTTATTTTTTTAGAGTTCCTGGCAAACTTGCAAAAGTAACATTTGTGCCAAATGAACATACTTTAGGGAATTGCAAATCCGCTTTGGAGTACGTGTTTGCCCAACGTGATAATGAAAATTTGACGCTTGGTGTTTTCTCTGAATATATTTGTAAGTTTTAATTTTCCATTATTTTTAGTTTATCAGTACAATTTGGTATACAGTACTAGTCTTAATTTTTTAAACGCTATTGTGAATGATGAGATGGGGTGCCACTCGCCAATAACTATGTCCACTTATTTTCATTTTTACTTTGTTTATTATCCCTTCAGCTACAAATCATACAAGGATGATTGAACCTTATCTGACCACACTGCACGAGTCATACAGGGATGATTTAGAATACCACATAAGATTTAACCCTCAGGCTGTGCACCTAGTGCTCCTTAACCCCTCAGAGAGCCACTTTTGAGGTATGGTCATTCCCACCTTCCTGTTGACGATTTCAAGGAGCAATGTTTCCGTGGCCTGGTCTCTAGCCAGGCCTCCTGGTTGCTGATCTGATCAACCAAGCTGTTTGATGAGGATGCTTGCAGCTTGAAGCACACGTCACAGCCCAGTTGATCAGGTGTTCTTTGAAGGTACTTATCGAGTTCTCTTTTGAACACTGCGAGAGGTTGGCCAGTTAAGCCTCGTACTTGTAAGGGAAGAGTGTTGAAAAGTTTTGGGCCCCTTGATGTTGATTGATTTCTCTATCAGCATTCCTATTGCACCTCTGCTTTTCAGTGGGGCTATTTTGCACATCCTGCCATGCCTTCTGGTCTCACGTGGTGTTATTTCTGTGTGCAGATTTGGAACCAGTATTTTAAAATTTTCCAAGTGTAAATTATTTTGTTTATCTGTCTGTGCTCTAAGGAACACCTTAACCATTTTTAGGCAGTCCTAATAATTTAGATGTTTTATTGAGTGGATTCTAGCAGTAAAAAATCTATGCACTCTCTCCAGGTCAACAATTTCTTACCCAGTGGCTCTTTATATCGAGAGGTGCTGTAATAGGACACATACATACACTCTGTATTTCATCCTTAATAATCCTCAGGCTAGTGAACTGTATCAGGTTCACTTGTACCTTGAGTGTGTTCCAGATTGAAATGCACTTTTTAAGTTAACAGTTGAAAAATCTGTACATAACAACATTAACAAAATTGTAAATAAATGGATGCATTAATTATCACGGATGTATGATGGGTGTCCCGGTAGTACAGTCAGGTTTGTTCTCGACTCACAATCAAGAACTATGGGTTTGAATCCCGAGCAGGATAAAAATGGTTGGGCACGTTTCCTATCACCTAATGTCCCTGTCCACCTAACAATAAATAGGTACCCAGGAGTTAATCGGCTTGTGAGGGTGCATCCTTGGGAGGGTCACTAATTCAAGGTCCTGATATTGGGGTCCTTCGAGGTGACCTCAGTTTTAGCCTAACATGTACTGTATGTATATACTGGCTGCTTGTTCCCTGTCACAATGAATTATTATTAAATTATTAGTTCTAAATTATATTGACAAATTGTACGAGGTCTTTTCAGCTGATGCTGAAAAGCTGTCTAAAGCTGAAGCTGATGCTGAAAAGCTGTCTAAAGCTGAAGCTGATGCTGAAAAGCTGTCTAAAGCTGAAGCTGATGCTGATGCTAATGCTGAAGATGAAGCTCATGTTGATGCTAATGCTGAAGATGAAGCTGATGCTAATGCTGAAGATGAAGCTGATGCTGAAGCTGATGCTGAAGACAAGAAGTTGTATTTTGAAGGACATATCACCTATAAATTTGATTGTCAAACTCCAGGTTAGTATTTTCTTGCTTGTAACCTTATTTTGTTACAGTTTACAATATATTACTGTACAGTATATGTAAGATCTCACTGCATCACTATGTTTTCTGGGGGTTGCCCCTTGTAGCTCCCAGAACCTATTATATGTATCTGAGAATATACTACTAGGTTCCATCAGTCAGAGTTCTTTTGGCCTACTGGGGACCATGAACCAGAACCTCCCTCCCCCCCACACACAGATTCACGGGGAGCAGTTGCGTTTACAGTAACATTTCTAAGAATTTATTTACATCTGCCACCACCAGGAAAGCACCCAGAAATTTAGCAAACCAAAACAAACCACTGCTAGCTTCAAACAAGACCACAATCTTGAGAACTGTCAAAGAACTCACTAAACTATGTAAACAAACAACTGAAGATTTGTAAAACTAATGCTAGTTTGTTCGCACCACTTCCTCTATTCATTTGGGAAGAGGAGGGAGCCATTTGCTCCATCCTTAGTGTTATTCTATTGGTAGTGTAGGTCAGGTACCCTCTCTGTTGCTCTGGCTCCAGTGTTCTGTTTTTAGTGTTTTTTTTTATCCTTTGTTGCTGTTCCTGTGCACTTTGGTGCAGCATGAACCAGGAGTTAGGATTGCCTGGAGCTGCATGTGTTCAGGGTTATCTTCCATTGTGCTTCCAAATGCTGTCCTTCCACTATCAGAGTTATCTTCCCTGGAGAGTTGGGGGAGTTGCTTCCTTAGGTGTCCTCCACACTTGTGGCCCTCACCCTAGGTAAGTCAGGTGTCTGACTTTGTCTTTCCTCAGGTAAGGAATAACATTGGCTGGTGGAGTACACCTGTGGTTTGTGAACTTTACTATACATGCTGAGGTCAGCCTTTAACAGCTGCATTGGACTGGCTGTGTTGGTCTACCTACATGTTAATTACCTGTTTATGATTCCAAGGATCAACATCCCCATGGCCCGGTCTCTGACCAGGCCTCCAGGTTGCTGGTCTGATCCCACTGGTTACAGTGGTAGGAAGAAGGCCAAGTGGATAGGTTTCTCTTAAGAGCAGGCGGTTTGTTACCAGTAACAGAAGACCAACTATCCTGCCAATGGGCAAGGATTGTGGAGTGAATGACTAGGTAGAAATCAGAATAAGGAATGCCTTTTTAAGAAATAGTTCATGCGCAGATAGCCGCCTTAGCAACAGTGTTCGCTCACTGATTTAATATATTGTAATACCAATACGGCTGGGAACCCAGCAAAACTCAACCTTCTTAAATCTGCTAGAGATTTTGCTTTAGGGGTCATGCTTATGCTTCTGCCTTATGGGTCTCGGTAGCACAGTCGAGTTCACTCTTGACACAGTCGAGAATTTTGGGTTCGAATTCCAGGTGGGACAGCAATGATTGGGTGCATTTCCTATCACCTAATGTACCTGTTCACTTAGCAGTAAGTTTTCAGGAGTTAACTTGCTGTGGGGTTGCATCCTGGAAAAGATCAGTAATTTGATCTTGGGGGGAACTGTGATTTAAGCCTAACATGTATAAATACACTTTGGCTGCTGACAGAATTAATTAAATTAATTATAATTAGGTTAGAACCAGCCAATGTTTGATTTTAACTACCACAGGAGGATGCATAGGATTAAATAACTCTAAAGTCACAAGAGCACAGCAAGAGAGAACACAAAGGAGTGCTGAAGATGGAAAAAACAATCGATGAAGGGCATACAAGATAGCATACAGTTCAGCCGTGAGCCTTTGGAGGTAGGTGACACATATGCGTTTGGTCTGGAAAGACAACAGAGCATCCAATATCGACAGCAGATTTAGTCCCATCGTGAAGAGGGCAACTGAATCCAAGTGTGAAGAAAAATCAAAGGAAAAGGGTTTTCAGAACAATAGGAGTTCCTTTCTTTCCTTTACTACATGGATCAAAGACTTGCAAAACTTCACAAGCAGGACTTGTCAAGGAGGTAAGGATGGAACGACACGAGGAGACACATTGCAAACATAGGTTGAAAGGGAAGCTTGTAAGCAAGACATCCAAACAGAAAAAGGAAGATGGTGAAAATCTCGGCAAGATAATTTTGGGGAGCCACTAAGGGGCTCCCTTAGAAATACATGTATGGATTGGTTAACATTGTAACTATAACCAAAATCATGGTAGATAATAAAATAATTAATTTACAGTATTAACTATGATTTGGAAGTTAAAAATGCTAGAATAAACCAGATGTTTTTATACAAATTTTAGGTGTGTTGTCAGCGAGTCCAGACTATATACAGTTGAAGAAAGATCTTACAGTTAAAGATGGCCAGGATCGTCTCAAAACAAAGACCATAGACAGCCCTGCTAACACCAGTATGTCAAGGGCACACAAACGTAATGTGAGTACGGTATCTGGTGAATAATTATCTCAAGGAAGTGATTCCAAAAAATTTAATTTTTAGAATAAAGTATGTACAGTATGTTTTTTATGTAATGTGGTTTCTTAGGTTGGAATGCCTTATTTGTTTTGAAGCACAGTATTTCATTTTGTTCTTCTTTCTTCAGATAGGTTATTATTCTTTAGCAATCAAGAATGCTCAGTGGTATTAAATTAAAATGCTCATGTTTAAGCCATAAATTATGACTGCTATTGAAATTGAGCAATGCACCCCATGGTAACAATTTTTGTTTCCGAGGGCCTCCTCAGTAGCGCCTGAATACTACAACCTTGGTAATGCCCAAGCCTTATAAACCTCACCAGTTTTCTTGTGAATCCTACTTGCCTACTGTAAACCAGGCCCAGAATCTTGCTCCCTCAAACAAGCTAAGAGAAACCTAGAGATCTGATAATACCACAGTACCAAGAGAGTTAACACCAGACAGTGTGTGTGCTTCAGAACCAGCTGGTCTCTTGGTAGATGCTCGTGAATCATTAGAGCCTGGTGTGGTAATTACCCAAATGTAGTTACAGGATGAGAGCTACGCTCGGGGTACCCTGCCTTCCCAGCACACTTTGTCGTACAGTATAACACTTTAAAACTATTGACAGCTTTGGCCTTGGCTACCTTCTCACTTAACTTGATCCAACTGTCTACCACACTGTTTGCAAAAGTGAATTTGTTTTACATTTCTTCGGCAGCTTTGTTTAGTTAGTTTAAATCTATGACTACTGTACTTGTTTTTAAAGTTCTGGGTCTCGGGAATTCGTCCCTGTCAATTTTGTCGATTCCCATTACTATTTTGTATGTACTGATCATATTGTCTCTGTTTTCTTCTATCTTCTAGTTTTGGCATATTTAATGCCTCTAACCTTCCCTTGTAGCTCCTGTCTTTCAGTTCTGGAAGCCATTTAGTTGCATGTCTTTGCACCTTTTCCAGTTTGTTGATGTGCTTTTTAAGATATGGGCACCATACAATCGCTGCTTATTACAACTTTGGTCTCGCAAATGTCGTGAACAATTCCTATAGTATTTCACCATCCATGTACAGTACTTAAAAGCAATTCTTAAATTATAAAGCATAGCATAGCCTCCTCACACATTGTTCTTTATGTAGTCCTCAGGTGATATTTTTCTGTCTAGAATAATTGAAATTTTCTGGGAAAAAAAATATAAAGCTTTTTCACATAATTTATAGGTTGCGTGTGGTTTATTTTTTCCTATTCTACATTCCATAACATGGCATTTATTCACACTAAATTTCATTTGCCAAGTGGTGTTCCATATACTTATTTTGTCCATTTCTTCAAGGATATGACAACCATTTAAGTTTCTAATTTTCCTTAGTATCTTAGCATCATCAGCAAAAATGTTCATATAAATCTGTATTTCTTCTGGTAGGTCATTTATGTAGATAATGAACATTACCATTCCCAAGGTTTGCAAGTACCCAGTTGGGTAGCTTGGGTAGCCACTAAAAGAAGCCCTTATAGAAAAAAGCATGGCTTTTGCCATTCTTCCTGGCCATTCCCTTTATGCTCACCCATGGACAGGTGGTATGCTGGAGGATAGTATTTCTGGCCCCAGTGTTATGAAATAGGCTACACTTCTTGATTTAAAATGGCCTAGATTTATTGAATTTGTATTCTAGACAGATAGAGATTAATTTCAGAAACACATTTAGCATCTTGAGTAAGCAAATGGAGGTTGAGAGTAATTAAGTAAAAAGTTTGCATATTCCAACTGACCAGTTGGCCAATCTTGCTGAATTTACATGGGGAAAGTGAATGTTTTAGTTGAGTTCTTATTTATGCTAATTTGCATACTGCAATGTTAGTACAGTTGGAATAGCCAATACCAATTATGTTGCAAGCCTTTGAAATATCTCGGGAAACTAGGCCTGTGCATTCATTTGTATATACTATATTAGGTTGCAGTTTTTGTATAATTTGCATAGAGATCACATTTAAGGTCCAAGTCTAAGGTCTAAGAAATCATATGCAATATGTAACCATAATCATTATTTTTTTAAGAAACATATAGTTATTGTGAAAGGTGTTTTATGTCCATGTAGCTTCGACCCTTAAGTAATGATCATCATACATCGATTCATGGTGTAATAATTATCATATATTGATTTTAACTATTATTGTCAAGTTTTCATACCACTGATGCTATGGATATAATGGCTCTATATGAATGAAGTGAAGTTTACCTTGACCCTTGAGAAAATCCTAATATCATTTCATGATTGCTTACTATGCAAATGCGGTTATTGCTAGACCATTATGATGTGGGCTTAGATGTTAAGGAAGACAGACAATGCCCTGATGTAGTACAAAGTTTTGCAAAAGCTTTCAACAAACGTGACCATGATGTTATTGCACACAAAATGAACACAAAAGGAATTACTGGCAAAGTAGGTAGATGGTTCTTTAACTTCTTAATGATGGTTCTATCATTCAGAAACATACTGGCATCTGTCACTAAGGTAAGATGGTAGGTACTGGAGTAGTGTTACAGTTTAAGAAGAAGGTTATTTTAGTTAATTGTGTCAGAATTCTTACGAACAGATAAAACAACAGGGAGAACTCATGTATTGTCTCAATTCTGTTCAATGTCCATAAAATGGACTATTGTTGTGTCCTTTCATTGACTTTACAAGACCTTCAGTTGCCCCAAGGTGAACACTTCATGTTGGCATGGAACCGGCATCATCCCTCCCTCTGTAATCGTGTGGCTTTCATGGTGGATGCCTTTCAGCTGGATTTGCCGAGGTGGGGGTTCATATACTTTTTCCCCGATTCAGTTGTTTGGATAGGTGATGTCCAGACTGGAGTTGTACTCATGCAAGGTGATCCTTCTGGATCCTTGATGGCTGGTGGCTGGCTCAGCTTTGGTTTCTGGCTCTTCTATTGAAGAGTCCAAACCTAGGCATTTCTCTGCAGCTCTATTAGCAGATGAGCTCGGTGACATCCATTGCTGGCGAGACCTACTTTGCTCTATGCATTTGGAGTTTCTGATGAGAGTCTATTGCTATTTGTATGGTGAACATATGGCTGGGTTGTCTCCTTGCAGCAACCGTATGAAGTTGCCTGGCACTCATTTAGCCTCTCTTTTTGTCCCTTTGTCGTCTTTATTTGATGTCAATTCAGGTGCTTCTGCCCTTTTTATTATTATTATTTTTAGTGGCTGTTTTTGTTTTTGCTCTTTATGCTTAATACTATTGCCTCTTTTTGTTCAGCCATAATGGAGCCACTGTTTCCTGCATTCAGCTTTGATATGGCTTTGGAGTTCTTTCACCTCAGGTCAGCTCATGCTCATCATAAGTTGTCGTGGTCTCTTGACAAGGTGTTTGTGTCTTTCTTTCCCCTTGGTTCATGGTTACCCCCTTGGCCAGGGATATTTTCCTGAAGGCATTGATTTTATTGCTCTCGCCTTCAACTGCAAGGTTGGTTAGCTTCATGCTCTTCTTTGGAGGCAGGTAGTTTTGGTTTGTTTGCCTGCACCCTTCTTTTCTGGTGAAGCACGAGTCGGCTGGTTTCTGGAGGTATCCTTTGGTAATTGCCGTTTGATTGATTTGACTGAGGTTGCATCATCAGGGGGCCTGGTAGTACAGTTGGGCTCATTCTTGACACACAATTGAAAATTCCGGGATCAAATCCCAGGCGGGACAAAAGGAGTTGGGCACATTTCATTTCACCTAATGCCTCTTTTCACCTAAAAGTGAGTAGGTACTCGGGAGTTAGTCAGCCTGTTGTGGGGTTGCATCCTGGGTGGGGGGTCAGTAATTCGGCCTTGGGGGTTAGTGGGGGGTGGGGAGGCCTCAATAAAAGCCAAAACATGTATGAATACACTCTGGCTCCCTGTCGTCCAACACAATGAATTAATTATTTGCCTTGTTCAATGGTGACCTTGCCACTACCTGCATGCCATCAGTTCTTCCAATTGAATGCCTTGTTGATCAACCCTAATTCCTTTGTACCCTATTCCAAAGCTCATTTCTCAGGTTGGCTGCATTGCCATCAAAGCCAGCCAGCATGTAATCTACCCTCAAGCCCCATAATGTTTGCAAATACTGTACACAGCTTTGGCTGTGGTTTTCGCCAACATGTTAGGGCTGATATTCGGGCTCATGAGTTTTGTAGGTCTAACAGGGTCGTGACAGCTTGGTATTTGGCCAGTGTTCCCCGTTCCAGTCAGTCTTGTGTGACACTGGGCTAGGTTTCCCAGTCCCCACGGTCCTTTATCCCATCCTAAATCCTTTTCCTCATATCAATTCCCATTGCTATACTGTATATTCATAATGGCTTAATGCTTCCTCCTCATGGCTTACTGTCTTCAGTCTAGTTCCTGCTGTTCCTATTCCCCCTGGTAAGTTCCTTGTTTGATTTTTTCTATATGGAAGGTTAGCTTCAGGGAACACCAACATTAAATGTAATGAAATGCCTCTTTCAGGTAGAGCCTGGTGGCTCCCCTGACTTCCTCCCTCCTTACCAGGTTCATTGGTATGTTGTACACCAGCTCTGGACTGACTTTGGAGCTGGCTGCTAGCTGGGGAGCTCTAGGCTATCTGGTGGTGGCCACTGCTACTAAAGGGTTCCAGTTAGTTTGGAATGAACTAATTGTTTGGATTGAATTATTTCGGTTATTTGGCAGTTTCAAATTTTAATTTCTTATGAACTTTGCAGTTCTGTCTATTGCTTTGCTGACTTTCTGGATATTTTTTCGGGAGGGTGCAACCTATCCTTTTACAAATTACATCTGAATTTAACCGTTTGCATGTATGGCCAAAAACTGATGTAATTTGAAAATGAAAAAAAAATTAAAATAAATTTGGTATTTTTTTTTTCAAAACCGTACATTAAGGGTCCTCTGGTAGGTCAGGAGGGCAGAAAATTCTCCTAAAGTTTCAAATTGTCATGAAAATGTTAATTGAAAGTGTCCTCTCCTAACCTAACAGACTAAGCTGGAGGACCCAAACAGAAAACAGGACAGTACATCACTTTCATGAGCCGATTTCATTTCAAATTACGTCAGTTTTTGGCCATAGCGAAAAGCACATACAAGCGAAAAGCAACATTATTTTGAGAGGACGGGTTGGAAGGTGACAATAATAATCCCCTTCCCTTTGTACTGTAAGGAAGGGGTGCATGGCCAGGTTCTGGGTCTGGTCCCCATTAGGTGAAACAGGACTTGTGTGACCCAGTACTAGGGCACATCTCATTGAGATAGCTTCAGGGAGCCACTGGGGCTCTACCAGTAATGGGCATTTCATTACATTCTATACTGGCTTGTTATTGGAGTAGGGATTTGCACAGTAATAGACACTATTAATTGCCAAGCAATATTTTTGAATGAAAATTAAATGATCTGTACCCTAATTGGCCTTATTTCACAGCACTGTAATAAAAAATACAGGTGGCGGCGTAATGAAAATGAGATAATGGATATGATATGGGGAGCATTTGAGAAGCACCAGTATTACAGAGTTAAGGACCTTGAGCAGATAACCAAACAGCCATCTGTAAGTCATGAGGTTTCCTCTTTCTTTGACTTAGCTGCATTTGTAAGTCTTTGTTTAGTTTGATGTACAGTATTTTAAAATTGTATTGCTGTGTGGTCAATTCTTGAAACTGAAGCTTTATAATGCACCAATCAGATGCACATGGTAAGGAACTAATATAGTACAGTACTGTACATGGTAAACATTAAATATCATGCAAATGTGGCTCCACATCTTGGAAAATTCTAAACTTCTCATTAAGCTTAACATGAGAATTATCTAATGAATTTATTTATTTATTATATATATATACAAGAAGGTATATTGGGACTGGGAGGATACACAGTATAGTTATTACATTCTTCTAAAGCCACTAGTACGCGCAGCGTTTCGGGCAGGTCCTTAATCTAACAGAAAATTTTTAAGTAGGTAAATACTAGCAAAATTTGTAAAATGATAACAGGTACATTGCAAGAAAAAAAATGAGATGAGAAAGATTTGTAGGTACAGTATATTAAAGCACACAGGTAGCTCAGATTGATTGCACTGACAACTTGAATGGTAATTTAATAAAGATTAATAGGCACAATACAGCATATTGCTAGCACATATAAGAAGACAGCAATGATCACAATGGTAAAGTTGTTTGGATTAAGTACATAAAGATTGGTACAACAAGAAATGTTCTTGTTGATTTGATCTGTTGCTTTACTGCAACCATAACTTTTAAGTATTATTTCTATGAAATTTAATACAGTAATGCAATTGAAGGAATATTTAACAAGACTTGGATATAAGCAAGTTCTTAGAACATCAATACATTTCATGCAGAAATGTGAGAGATAACTGACTGGGGCATCAGTTGAAAATAGGCTGTCAATAATGTATTTGTGTCTGCTTTTTTGCAGTAATATTATTCAAGAGTGTGTAATTTGTAACATCACTATGCTCAAAAATGGATGATAAAATGGGCATGGAACCCCATTTACCTTACCTTAGTGGTCCTTGGGTAAATAGGTAAAAGAATATGGTGCACTTTTAAGCGACACATTATATTCTTAGAACAATAAAAACAATTTTTTTGTTATTACACTATATACATGTTTATTTTTTTTTATATATAACTACAGTATTTACATTCGGGCAAAAAATAATGACTCGCTAAGCTGGTCTAGTTAGTTATAATCTCATAACCACGATTCAAGGTCAGCCTAACACCACACACGCACACATTGCACCAAATTGTTAGTACAGTACAGGTATATGCAATGAACCTTTTTGCTGTTATTACACTATATACACACTTCATATATGGCTATCTATATTTGTATAAACCATAACAAACTTTAATTCTGGTGGGTGTGGTAGTAAAATCTTACCACAGAATGGAGCCACATGCAGTGATGTCAGCAGACAATGCCACGAGACACAGCAACATGCCTTCAATATACAATGCACATTGCTAAGTTTAGCCACAACACTGCTATTATTATCTGATTCCTGCCACTAAATTATGACTATGAATAATTTTTCCACAAGATTATCTTGTAAAAGAACATGAAGCCACATTGTTGTGATCATCATAACTAGCATTGTGTTCACTGATATTTGAGCCTTGTACATACTTTTTATTACAGTCAGAATCATCTATGACACTATCATTGCAAAATAATTGCAGTTACTCATTTTATTCATCATCATTAGTATTAAGTGGTGCTGTGGCCCTGACCTGCACAGCTGTGCTGTGAGCTTTTGCTACATGCTCCTGCTACATGCTAATAAATAAAAAATAAAAATAAAATAAATGTGCTAACCTTGGTCGCTCTGGTAGTACTGAGGTGCACCCAGCCAAGAGGGATAGAAATGATTGTTTTCAAGAAGGCATCTGTTTACCAGAGTCCTGAGGAACAATATGTGAGCACTGAAAAACATGCATGGGAAAAAAACAAAAGCATGGGAGTTTTTAATCGTTCCTTATAGCTAAAAAACACACCTTTATGAGACTACAATTGGAATTTGTAGTAGATGTATAGTGCCCAGGAAGGCCTGGTCTGACCTTGACCCCCAAATTCAACATGAGGTAACCTGCCCACATCTCAAGAAGCACATCAATAAACCAGAAACAGTGTAAAGACATGCAATTGAATGGTTTCCGAAACTGAAAAACAAGAGCTACGAGGAGAGGTTAGAGGTGTTAAATATGCCAAAGCTAGACAAAGGGCAATATGATCACTACATACAAAATTTTAAAATCGACAAAATTGACAAAGAATAATTCTGGAAACCTGGAATTTCAACAATAGGTAATAGTTTTAAGGCTTTTTCCAATGGTGATGAACTGTCACCCACTGCCTCTGAGAGGGCGAGGTTCTGGCTCTGATCGCCGATAGGCCAAAATAAATTCCACAACCAATATGATCTTTTAGTATGGAGCAATCTCAGCAAGACCACTTCATGGAGCCCCCAGGGCTCCTCTAGAAAGAGGCATTTCATTACATTCAGTGCTGGGATTTTAATTTAACTCAATTGGTAGTCAGTGCAAATGTTTTTTTTTGCTTAACATGTCTTGTCATAAATTAGTTGTGTGTTCTGAAAGTAACAGCCATTTGGAACTTTTATAAATTTGGCAGACCTTGTCACTTGTATAACTGATGAGAAACATTATCTTTTCCAGAGATATTTACAAAAAATCCTTAAGAAGATAGGCATTTATAATATTGAGGGACCATTCAAGAGAATGTGGCAGCTGAAACCTGAGTACTGCTGTTACTAGTGAAGTAAAGCCTGTATATAAAGCATTGACACGAGGACTCATTCTGTAATTTACTGTAATTTTGTTTTTACGAGAATGAAAGGAAAGGTCTTGTTTAGATTGTTTAGTTTAATTTTTCTCTGACATTACACTGTAAATGGTTCTTGGAAATAGAAGTAATTTATCTAAATACTTTGCAAGACAGTTACTTAGGATATATATATTATTCAAATGAAAATGTTAGGATATATATACATTATTATTCAAATGAAGATTTTTAGAATATATGTACATTATTATTCAAATGAAGATTTTTTAGGATATACTGTATGTACATTATTATTCAAATGAAGATTTTCAGGATATATATACATTATTATTCATATGAAGATTTTTAGGATATACACATTATTATTCAAATGAAGATTAAGATATATGTACATTATTATTCAAATGAAGATTTTTAGGATATATGTACATTATTATTCAAATAAAGATTTTTAGGGTGTTTTTGTGATTTTCTTTCTGGAACATGCATTCCTCATATTTGCTCATCATTGCAGCCAAAACTCATCACTTACCCGAGAGTCATTAACACTAGTGGCCTCGATGAGGACAGGAAGCTGGCGGGTTGTTGAAGGTCCTATTTGACTTTATGATCTTTTCCAGCTGTACTTTAAATGTTAACAGAGTTTTGGCATTTATGGCTTCGGCAGGTAGGCAGTTCCATGGGTTAATAGCCCTATAGGTGAAAAAGGATCTGTTCTCAGTCCTACATTGTGGCTTGAGCTTGAAACGGTTGCTCCTTGTTTGTGTTACATCTGACAAGTTAAAGAAATTTTCCGAAACAACATCCTTCAAATTGGTCAGTATTTTAAAAGTTCCAATGAAATCGGACCTGTCATGCCTGGTTTGCAGTGTTGTTAGCCCTGTAGGCCCCTCAATCATTCCTAATACGTGAATTGATTTAGCTCTTGAATGATGTTGACCAGACCACACACTAGAAGTTGAAGGGACGACGACGTTTCGGTCCGTCCTGGACCATTCTCAAGTCGATTGTGATGAGGAGGTAGGGACAGGCAATAAATAGGCAAGAGAGAGCTGAGGAGGAAAGTAAGGTGTAGGGGATAGAAGTAATAATGAGAACTGCAAAAGGCCTATTGGCCCATACGAGGCAGCTCCTATTATAACCACCGAAGGAGATAGTAATAGGAATAATTTATTTATTTATTTATTTATGCATATACAAGAATGTACATAAGGAATGTGAGGATACAAATATGGTAATTAGTCTTGTAAAGCCACTAGCACGCGCAGCGTTTCGGGCAGGTCCTTAATCTAAGAAAATTTTAAGGAGGTAAATACTTGCAAAATTTATAGACAAAAAAAAAAATGATAACAGATTACATGAAATGAAAAAAAAAAGAAGACGAGAGAAAATTGTAGGTACAGTATATTAAAGCACATAGGTAGCTAAGATTGATTGCAATGACAACTTGAATGGTAGTTGACAAAAAATTGGTAGGCACAATACAGCAGAAACAATATAAGATTGATTGCAATGACAGCTTGAATGGTAGTTGACAAAAATTGGTAGTCACAATACAGCATATGGCTAGCACATAGAAGACAGCAATGAACACAATGATAAGGTTGTTTGATATTACATAAAAATTAGGAGATTGGGTAACTCTAGGTACAGAGCAAATTTAAAGCTCAGTGAAGGAAACTAAGAAGATGAAGTTAGGTACTTTTTTGTTTTGCTTTTAAATAAGCAAACTTGTCAAAAATTTTTGAAAAACTAATCTATAAGCAGCTTTACTCATATCTAGCCAAACTCAATATACTTAGCCCTTGCCAATATGGCTTCAGGCCCAAAAAAAGCACTAACGATGCACTTATTAGTATGCTTAACTCGATTCATACAGCTCTTGATAAAAATGAGTTCCCTGTTGGGTTATTTGTGGACCTGCGTAAAGCTTTCGATACTGTCAACCACCAAAACCTTCTTCTTAAATTACATCATTATGGTGTCAGAGGACACTCCCTACAATACCTCAAATCCTACCTTACTGACAGGCTCCAATGTGTTTCTGTGAATAATACAATTTCGCCCACCCTACCCATCAACATTGGTGTTCCCCAGGGCAGCATACTTGGCCCTCTCTTTCTCATCTACATTAATGACCTTCCAAATGCCTCCCAACACCTCAAACCAATTCTATTTGCTGACGACACAACCTTCATTTACTCCAGTCCTGATCCCCTTGCTCTAAATGCCACAGTAAATACTGAGCTAAATAAAGTCCATCTGTGGCTAACTGCCAACAAACTCACCCTTAACATTGACAAAACCTTTTATATTCTGTTTGGCAATAAATCCTCTAATCAAATAAATCTCAAAATAAACAATACCCAAATTTGTAACAAATTAGATGGCAAATTCCTTGGCATTCTCATTGACCACAAGCTTAATTTCCAGGGACACATTCTAAACATATAAAAAAAACCAGCGTTGAATGTAATGAAACGCCATTTTCTGGGTGAGACCCGGAGGCTCCCCGGAGCTTTACCGGCTGATATGCTAATGTCAGACTTTGGCATCAGTCATGTGTATGGAGTTCTAGGGCCTACCGGGGACCACGAGCCAGAACCTGGCCCCCTCAGAGAGGCAAGGGGAGCAATGGCCTATAGAAACCCCCGTGTGGTTGGAAGCATTCTATGTCTGCCATCGACCGGGTCAAGCATCCAGAAAGGTAAGCATTCCATAACAAACCCCTATTCTGGTGAAAATTGCTACCTAAGCCGAACTAGTGAATAGAACTCTTCAACAGAAAACACGGAAACTAGTATGACGTCATACGTCACCGCGCCGTTGTCTGCGCAGCTCCCCCCTCCCCGGGAGGGGGAAGGGGGAGCCCCAGACCTCCCACGCCGGCTATCCACCCATCAGTTCTGAGGCTGGATGTCAAAACACGCGAAAAACGCCGACCGGAGGGAGGGAGGGTTGCCGGGGAGCCTCCGGGTCTCACCCAGAAAATGGCGTTTCATTACATTCAACGCTGGTTTTCTGGGGGGAGCCCCGTCGGCTCCCCGGAGCTAACTACCCACAGAGGAAGGTCAAAGGGACAAAACCGGGAGGCGGACACCACGCACCCCCCAAGGAGGCGAGACAACCGGCAGCAAACGCCAACCCAAGGCGCCACAGCCCCGAAAATCCCGGGAACAACACGAGAACCACGAGCGGCAAGGCCCCTGCACGAACACCAAAAATCCATGCCCGAAAGACTGCAAGGCCACGTCGCCCAGACGGCAGCGAGAGCAGCGAAGCCACGAACGCCACAGGCATGAGGGAAGAACACAGGCAGCTTAGCCGCAAGAACACGGCTGACCACCCGGGACACCATCACCCGCGAACCGGGAAGAACAGAACCGGATCAACGCAAAACGCGCTCCGGACCCAAACGCCGTGGCACGCAAACAACAGCAGAGGGCCGCCACTGAACACAAAAACGACACACCCCCGGCCCGACCAACAAAGCACCAACAAACCCTGGACCCCTCCAGAATGCAGCAGCCCCACCCCGCGCCAGAAAAGATGGAGACTGCTGCCATCAAACAACCAAAACGCTAAAACCGAAGGAGCAAGAAAACACAGCGAACTGACCCCCAGAGGCAAAGGCCCAAAGGAAAGAGCCGACGAAAAAACACACCGGAACCGAAAGGGCACTACCAACCGAGGAGAAGACAGAGCACGCTGACCAGAGACCAGGATGGTGCAAGCGGCGCACGAACAGGCCGGAGGTGAAATGACGCACAAGACAGCTGACTAACGGTGCAGAAGCAACACCAAGACCGAAAGCAAGCTGAAGCGGCTCCGCCTGCGCCACACGAAAAGAGGCGACAGTATGTGGCAAGACGACGGCCCCCAACCCCCACTAGAAAACCAAGCCGAGAGTAAACCAAGCCAACAAGAAGGACCCACCGAAGAAGGGACAGGAAAAGGAAGGACCGCCAAAATACCCCATACTGCCGCCAAGAAAGCACGCAGGTGGGACACCTACCACGAAGCCACCCGACCACCAACCGGAGGCGAGACCACGAGGCAGAACATAAGCAGCCCCGACAAGGCCCCCCCGAGCCCAGGAAAAAGGCGGAGCCGCGAGAAGATCTCGGGCGCGACCACCGAAACCCAGGCGGCACAAGGAGATGGAACGTCTGCCGAACAGAAAAACTCCGAAGCATGCAAGCCCGCCAGGAGTTCAGAAACGACGGGTCCGACGCGAGACATCGCAAGAACCCCCCCAAAAAAAATAAAACAACAACAACCGGCAGGGCAAGCTAGGAAAACCAAAGAAGGCGGAAGGGTCGCCGCCAGAACAGGACCCGAACCAAGGGGCACGAACAACTGCAACAGACCGAGACAAAGAAGCACATCACAGGACACAGGCTGACCAACGCCTAAGAACACACGCAGAACATTCCTGCTGCAGAAGAGGCAGGAAGAAAGAGCAGAAGCACAAAAAAAAAAAAAAAAAAAAAAACCAGGAGAACAACCAGGGGTGGACAATCAGGCAGGGACAAAAACCCCACGCAATCCCCAGGCACAAAACGGCAGCAAAGCGCCACTCCACAACCGGACACAGGAACAAGGACACGCCACCGTGAAACACGGTACCAATGCTCACATGCAGCAGCAGCAGCAACAGGCACCACTGCAACATGCAACATGTAAATAGCAACTCCCCTCTGCAAAGGCAGAGAACGGAGCAGGCAGACCCCAGACAGGGCCAACGGAGACACGACAAAACCCTGCAGGCCCAGAAACCTGCACCAGGCGACCGACGGCGGAGAAACCCCGCTCAATACCTGCTGGATGAGGTACTGGGAGCTCTTTTACACCTCAAGCCCGGCCCAAGGTCAGGCCAGACCGGCCAGAAGATGGCCCACCAGGCAGCTGCTAGGAGCAGTCCACCGGCCCACATACCCCCACAACCAGGACGGGCCGGAACTGCCATACGAAAACAGGCCAGTGCGCCCTGGAAGTCCACGGACGAACCAGCAAGAAGGCTTATGCTCGCAAGTAGGTCGTGTAACAAG